ACACACACACACACCACTGCTTGTTGTGAGCCTATACACACACACACACACACACACACACACACACACACACACACACACACACACACACACACACACACACACACACACATCAGAAGGACCTGCATTCATCCTACAGGTGGAGCGTGCAGTGCACTTTGAATCACAGTAAACATTATGGATGTCAATATTGATGCTCTGTGACAAAATGTCAGATCACGATCCTGCAGAGGACGGGCTACACTCCAGGAAAAATGAGAGCTGAGAATAAGACGACTCAGGACCTCTTGTGTGACCCGAGAAGTGCAGTAACAGAGAGTCTCCTTCGATTTGGGATCTCTGCACACAGACATGTGTCTTAGCTTATCACTGGGGCGCCTCTCAGTTGGTACAGTCGGTCGTCTCCTAACCGGAAGATCGGGGGCTCAATCCCCAGCTCCTGCAGCCACATGTCTGATGTGTCCTCGGGCAAGACACTTAACCCCAAGTTGCTTCCCTTTTCAGCGGCCTCAGCGAGTTAACTGATTATTCAAAATGCAGTGGTCAGATTGTCAAAAGGTCCAGCAGGTCCTCCTCTCAGATCACTCCTGTTTTATTCTCCTTCTATTGAAAGCCAGAATTCATTTTGAAGTCCTCGTTTTGTTTAAAAAGCTCTGCATGATCAGGAACCCGTTTAGATCTCTGACCTGCTCCAGCCCTACATCCCCAGTAGACACACTGACACCCCCCAGAAATGACATTAGGAAAGTGCTGGTGAATAGACAGGGCGTGTGGTAGAGTAAATAAAAGATTCTGTAATGATATAAAACAGAAATGGTTTTAATGTATTTTGAGATCATATCATGTTTTTCTATATTGCACTATTATCTAAAGGACCAATCAGAAAGATATCTAATGAATTACTTATCTGTATCATCAGACATGAAGGAAATGGGACCTAAAATCTGCTCCTGTATAAATGAAGGAGCATTACCACAGCGTGCCGGGCGCCCCCTGGTGGCTACACTCTGCAATTACATGAAAAGAACACAAAGTCATGAACTCACCATTTTTGATTTGATATCCTTTATTAATCCCTGAGGGAAACTCTTCAACTTGAGACAAAAAAGAGTTCACATATAAAGAGAGATGATGAGAGAAATAATAGCTTCAGTGTCATCCTCAGATATTTACATTTATACATCTTTAAACCAAACATTTAAGATTTTAGATTAACTGTAATGTCGTTTTTTGTATTTTGTAATAAAGTTAAAGTTGTTAATGTTGATTTAGTGCATCAGAAATAACTGTGTTTTTTTTATGTGTGTTCAGTTTATCAAAGACTCATGAAAAGCCAAATACAGAATTATCAGATCAGACTTCATTAGAAGCTGAGGAAACACTTTGGCGCCCCCTGCTGGTTAAAATGAATATTGCAGCTCTGACCATACACAAGTTCTCATATTATTTTGGGTTTTATTATAAAGACAGGACAAATGACAGCGTCAGAAATCAGAAAGAGAGAGAGAGAGGGGAATGACATGCAGGAAAGGAGCACCAGGTCAGATTTAAACCCACCTCTGAACATACTTGCCCTGGCAGTGGCAATTCTAGAGTTTGTCGGGGCCCCACGCAAAAGTTTAATTAGGGCCCTCCCACCAGTGTTCAGCAGGGCAACTACAGTGACTGCTGTCAGATGGGGCCCCATTAGGGAGGTTTCCTACTGTCATTGCAAGATTTGCATATTTTGGACCGCTGCTTTGGTTCACAGTTTGTCAGCCCTCCGGAGCTCCCTATACTGGTCTGCGGCACCAAGCGGTTGCCTGCCTTGACAATTGACAAACAGCGCCTCTACTAACCCTCACACTAACCGCTCGGCCTCTGAGTTTGAAAAAGGCGCATCTGTGTCCAACACCATATGAACGCACCACGAACCATTAGTTAGATCAGCTCTTGTCTGACAGATCACGGTGCACGTACGCCCCTCAGAGTACCTCAGGAGCCAGGAGAGTAGGAGCAGGAGCTGAACAGGTTCCTCTCAATGGGTCAATAGTTCATATCAGAGTCAATAAAAAAGAGGAAGGGTTCGAGAATGCATTTAGCTTGTTTTTTATTTCTCTAAAAACATATTTTCTGTACGTTCAGAGAAACAGTTGAACTTCTTTAACAGACAGGAACGATAACAAAACTTCTAAATGAGAGAAATGTTTAATAAACATTCATCTTGTATGCAACACGTTTTTATATTCTTACAATCCTACAACACATAGAAGTGAATTTAACCTTCTGAGTCCTTCAGTTCATCACGTCCTCGCAGCAGAACAATGACGGGTCTCAGGACTCGAATCAACAGCCGCTCTTCAATATCTCCGACGTTTTTTAAATGTGTTCCCGTAAAGTCAAACTTTACAGATCTAGCGCTCTGGTTTCATCTGGTCAGAGATCTGTGGACATATTCAGAGATCTCACATCAATCATGTAAACACACACACTGAGGAAACAGGAAGCTTATCGTGGCCGGTGGTTGAAATCTCAGCTCTGCCCTGATCCCATGTTTAATATGAAGAAAGGGGCGTGTCCTAAGGGGCGGCACGGGCCCCCCTAGATATCTGATTTTCCCCCCTGAAAATCTGAAACTGTGATTGGCTATTTGCCCCGTCAGAGGCGGACAGGCAGAAGAAAATGGATGAATGGAGGTGCAAAGTAATGCACTCTGTCTGACTTGAAATTAACAAACTGGTGAAGTATCGGGACCAAAACATTGTAAAAGTAAAAAAAAAGTCTGGACACGCCCCTGAGTGACGCTAACAGTCTGAGCCGGAGACGTCTGGAAATTGTTGAAATCTCCGCTGAAAGAAAACTAAATAAATAAATAAAGAATGGAAATGAGAAGATTCACAGCATCAAAGAGAACCGGTGTGAAAACAAGCAAACGCTTGGGCACTTTATGGCATTTATATTCGGAATAACATCACGATAACAAACGCTACGCTTGTTTTAAAGTGAACTTAGAGCCGACATTGAAGAGAGCGTGCAGTGATTGGTGGTCGTATTGTGTGCGTTTCATAAATCTGATGGATTAAAATCAAGTGAATATTCCATGACGACATGGGATGACGACGTCTGTACGTAGCGTCATAGCGTTTGTTTTTTATGAAACGTTTGTTCATACGTAGCGTTTGTTCATACGTAGCGTTTGTTCGTACGTAGCGTTTATTCGTACGTAGCTTTTGTTTGTGCATAGCGTTTGTTCGTACGCAACATTTGTTCGTACGTAGCGTTTGTTCGTACGTAGCATTTGTTCGTACGTAGCATTTGTTCCTACGAAACTAACCACGCCTGTGAATCTTCACTTTCATGAACGATGAAACTGACCCGGTAATAAAGAGCGCAGTTAATCCTTGATGAATCCACGAGTTCTGGTTTAATTAAGGCACTTTAAGATGAGCTCCGTGTTCCCTTGAAGGACTAACTGCAGAGTTTAAAGACTTTTAAATGTCATCATGTGCTAACGTGCAATCTAAAGGATTGTTCTTGTATTTCGATGTTTACAAAACGACCTTAGGTTTATATCCTTCCAGCAGAGGAACTTTCTGAAGGCTGAAGGAATCAAGGCGCGATATATACGGCCCGTGTCGTTTCGCCTTAATCTGAATGTTGTGGAGGCGTAATGAGGGGAAGAAGTGATCCCCCCTCTGTACTGTCTTCAGAGTGTGTGTGTGTGTGTGTGTGTGTGTGGAGCTACCGCTGACCTCTCAGTCTCTGGGATGACATGCAGCAAAGGGACGCAGCCAGACTTCAGTCTCTGCACATGGAGCGCACGACATAACCGCTTGGATGCTTTAGATCCCAGAATATTTCAAATCTGGCCGAGAATTAAAGATAAAAGAACTAAAGTTTAAATAGTATCTCATGTTGAAGTTTGACTCCTTTTAAACACTTTTAACGAGCAGTAAGCTCTTATTAATAAAGCCTCAACTTTGAGGAACACTTGTGTAAATCAGTGTAGTGATACAACAGAAAACTCAAAGTACTTGGTCTTTTTCAATTCTCTGATTTTTTTGAAATTTTCAAAATCCAAAACAAAAAACACCAACCAGAATTTACATTTTTAGGCACCTTACCCGGGAGAGTAAAGAGATCGTATTCATGTCATTGGTTGATTTTTAAAAGCCTGTAAACTTTGCAGTTATTCCGTTAAATGAGCTTCATGTTGGACCGTTGTCATCAAAGTGAAGCGCTGAATTTACCTGATAAAACTCTGTTAATGCAGAGAGCTCCAAATGCTACTTTAAATACATCTAACGTCCTTCATTATTATTTTAAATTAAGTCATTTATAAAGTCATTTACATCTGACTTAACTTCAAACACCTGAATACTCAAAACGCTAACTTTAATATCAGCTTTAAAGGAGCAACATGTAAGATGTGTAGTGAGTGAAATGATAAAGTGACCTTACTATATGATCAGACATTAAGGAAACATGCTATGTTGAAGTGCTGGCTTCTCGGACAACAATGCAGCAGCCAGTATGTCCTCCTTCTAACTTTAGATTCTGGTCCTGAATGATCTGGATTTGTTTGGACCAGAGTAGGTAGGCGGTCTTAAGGCCCCCCCCACGGCCCGTTTTGGACGCCCCTCGGTTTGCCAGATATGAGAGCAGTTATCAGGTCAAACCAACAGGTGTTGCAGCGATGGAAGCGGGTAAGAGAAGTGGTTCAGATAGAAGTGATTTTGAGGTTAGAACGCAGAAAAGGTTGACAGACCAGTGCAGAGCTGGCTAAACACTGAAGCTTCAGTGTCCACCACATGGTGACCTGCATAAGCATCGACTCTAGGGGGAGAGACAGCTCTCTACAATGTTTCGAATTTGGACCGCAGCACCCGTTTTAAAAACTAGGTGACAGAGTTACATATTGCTCCTTTAACTGATTTTTGTTACATTTGAAAAATATTTCTCATTGATATGTAGAGCGTATCAATCTACAGAGCGTATTTATTCAACAGAATATCTCAGGATTATGACTTCTAACGTGTTCTTGTGATGTTTATTATTCAGTCGACGGCTTTTCATTCAGACTAGTTCATTATAAACATGATTGTTTGCCCACTGGTTTTAATTTAAAAAGCTAACGATTGTGCATATCCACACACACTCAGAGTTTTATAGTTTCCTCTCCCCGCTGATGATGCTCTGGTAGATTGTGTCAGTCAGAGGAATGTAAAAGTGCTGCTGTTGGTCCAGAACAAAAAGAGGATCAGGGACTGTCGACGGGTTGAAACCGCTCTGAACCAGCTGGAACTTCTGCTGCTTGTACGTGCTCGTCATCTCCATCTCCTCCTGAGACACACATCAGAAAAAGAATCAGCAGAAAACACAGGAAATCATAAAATAGCATCCAAATAACATTTGTTAAAGGGTTTTGACAAGACCAAGACCAAGGCAGGTCGAGACAGAGTCAAGACCAAGACCAAGACCAAGACCAAGACCAAGGCAGGTCGAGACAGAGTCAAGACCAAGACCAAGACCAAGACCAAGACCAAGGTAGGGCGAGATCGGGTCAAGACCAAGACCAAGGCAGGTCAAGACTGAGTCAAGACCAAGACCAAGGCATGTCGAGACCAAGTCAAGACCTAGACCAAGGCAGGTCAAGACCGAGTCAAGACCAAGGCATGTCAAGACCGAGTCAAGACCAAGACCAAGGCATGGCGAGACCGAGTCAAAACCAAGACCAAGGTAGGGCGAGATCGGGTCAAGACCAAGACAAAGGCATGTCGAGACCAAGGCCGGTTTTGGTGACATCAAGTCATGACCAACACCAAAAAAATAGCATGTGATTAATTGTAATTTAAAAAAACATAATAATTAATGGCTTGATCAGCATGGGTAGAGTTCTGGTTTCTGTTTGTAGTACATTTGTAGTCCGAGCCGTGCTGACCAATCACGTATGAGCAGGCTTTAGCGTGCACTGGAGAAACAGTCTGTGTGGACATTAAGAAAACAGGCGGAGCGATATCAACACTAATAAGTAACCAATCAGCTGTGACCTAACAGTGATTTATTGATCTCTATTATCTGGAGTAAAGTTCAGCTGACGACCGATTAAAAATCACACTTTTCAATATGAGACTCAAATCTGCTCGACGCTGTGTCACGAGAACCAATCAGCATTCAGATCTCCTGACACTGCACGTGATTTAGATCATCGGAGAGAACAAACATCGCAACTGTAAGGAAACACAGACTGAACTAGAAATACAAATCGAGTCAAAGAAAAGTCAGGAAGCAGCCGCAGTGTGCGTCCGTGTTTCTCACCTGGAGCCTGATGAAGAGTGGGCGGGCGTACGCCGGGAGCTCCCTCGTCACATGATCGAACAGTTTCTTTCCATCGAAGGTAAAACCGGGTCGAACAATCATGGCCGCCATCCCTGCTCTGCCCTCATGTCCTGTTAAAAAAAGATCAGATCATTATCTTATTGTGTACTTTTAAAACGACCTGTGAATGTCTTTATTTTCTGTTCCCATACCTTGTATTTCCACGCCGTACACGTTGACTTCTTGTATAAAATCCATCTGACCCACGATCTCCGCCACTTCTGTCGTCGCCACGTTTTCACCTTTCCACCTAAACGCAGAGGAACATCCTCATTTATATCCCCACGGTCTAACTGTGTGTTACATCAGACAGTTTACAAACCCTCAGTCAGGACACACAGACACACGGCCGTTTTGGACACCCCTCGGTTTGCCAGATATGAGAGCAGTTATCAGGTCAAACCAACAGGTGTTGCAGCGATGGAAGCGGGCAAGAGAAGTGGTTCAGATAGAAGTGATTGTACCCGACCTAAAAAGCCTCTGCATGTTTCTAATAAGCTCCACGAGCAGAAACGTGCTCAAACTAGGATCAATATTGGAGATGCTTTTGAAAAATGGAGAGAGGTTAGAACACAGGAAGGTTTACAGACCGATGCAGAGCTGGATAAACACTGAAGCTTCAGCGTCCACCACATGGTGACCTGCATGAGCATGGACTCTAGAGAGGAGGGGGCGGGGGGAGACAGCTCTCTACAATGTTTAGAATTTGGACTGCAGTACCCATTTTAAACACTAGGTTTGCGAGTGCACAGCAGGTAAACAGACGTCGATGACATAAAAATTAAAGCTGTGAGCATGTTTATTTTTCTTGCAGAAACATTAAAAAAGAGACTGAACCTGGTGTAACTAATTAGTCTCAGGTTTGCGGTCTCTCCATCCTCTCTGACATCATCACCTCGTGGCGGATGCAGCCGTGTGATTGGTCCCTGCAGTAAAGACTTCTCAAGCCCCCGACTGACCGTACCTGAATGTGTCTCCCACTCGGTCTCTGAAGCAGATGAAGCCCTCCTGTTCTTCAGACATCAGGTCTCCAGTGTTGAAGTATGCGTCTCCTTTGGCGAACACGTCCCTCATCAGCTTCTTCTCCGTCAGCTGTTTGCTGCCCGCGTAGCCGAAGAACGGGCTGATGGCGCTCACCTTCGACAGCAGCAGACCCGTCTCACCTGAGAGGAGCCACACAGCAGAGAGTCAGAAATACATCTCAAAGAAAAAACAAAAACGACCCCTGAAAGAAACGATGACCTTCCTCTGACCTTGCTCCACGCGCTGACAGAATCCGTGCGGATCTTTCACGGGTTCGTCTCGCAGCATGTCGTACTTCACTAGGTCGTACTTGAACAGGAGCTGCAGGAAACATTCAAACGAGGAATATGAATACAACAGATACAGGAATGAAAGCTCGAACACATCAGAAACTTTAAAAACATTCTATTTTAACCTTCAGGTCATTTGATTACTAAATAAAACTCCCGCTGAGTCTAACGCTGGCTGCAGGACCAACTTAGACCCCGTGTTCAGCATGCTTTTATTCCAGGCAGAAAAGTGCTGGCTGTGCACTCTGGAGTGTTTGCATGAAGCGCTGCATGTCCGTCCTCTCTATGACAACAGTGTGTTGATAACGGCCGCTGTATGACCGACACTGCTCCGTTACTTTTTACTGCATGTTTTATATTTGAGATCTTTTTTCAGACACGGAGCGAGGAGGACGTGGGTACAAGACACGATCTGTAGGAGGCTAAAACTACGGGGAATATCATACATTTGGAAAAGAGCGCCGGTGACGTCAACGGCGCTGATGGCTGGGCGCTGCACCTTTTCTCCAGCCGGCCGCTCTCTACTCATTTAAAATAATTGAAAAAGGACGATGGTGCTCAGAAAAAAACGCTAGGTGGACATGGGGCCTTAGCACTTCTGTTGAAGTTTTTATTAATTTATTTATTATTTTAAGCGTTTCTGACTTGCAGACCGTCTGCGCTGTTCATGCAGTTGTTTCAGTTTTTAGCATCACGTCCCCGCTCTCATATATACAGCGTGTCTCCGTTGTTGCTCCTGTTCTCCCTGCAGGTCCCCGACGATGTGATACACCTGATTCTCCTGTTGTCTAAAGCCGGATTGCTGTAACACTGATGTTTTTATAACTTCACTTCTGTAACGGTCTAAGAATAGCGTTGGTCAGAGATTAGAGTTGTTTAACTCTAATCACATGAAGCTTGTGTTTTGTAACTCCTCTGATTAACACGAGCTTTACTGGAGATAAAACCTCTGAAGACGCTGCTCCTCTTAACCCCGCTCTCAGACTTACACACTAAGCCCCGCCGCTCCGTCTTCAGGTTTGGCAGGCTCTCTCTGAGATTCAGCCGAGTCATCGGAGCCGTGTCATGACTCGTCAGTTTCAGAGAGGGCGCAGTTCTGATAGTTGATCAAACTGTAGCGGAGTACGACGTCAAAGTTTCTCCAAATGTTTGTTTTTATCACATTTTCCGGATCATTTTGAACTCTATAGAACTGGATTGTGATGCACTGTAGTGCTCTTGTTCATTTAGAAAAAAAATGACGATTGTGTGGACCAGGCAAAATTAAAATCAGTGAAAATATTAGATATGTATCAAACTGAGGGATTCTGTATTTCTTTTTTCCTGAGATTGTTAATGAATTATCGATAGCTACTGTCAAAAGTTACAGAGGTTGTTTTTGCTCCATGCATCATATTTTTAGATGTGTTGGATATTCATAGATTGACCCGTGCAGGCAACAGGTTTTCATGACACTGAGTCCAGGGTCGAGGGTTGACCCCTCAGAGACCCTCTTAAAAGGAGGGCACTCTAAACTTCCCGGATAATACATGACCTGCAGATCTCCTCTAATCTGTTTACGCCCCTCCCCCCACCACCAGTCCACACAGTCCTCCAGGTGTCTGTGTTTAGAGAATCTGGGTCATAAATACGATGTATGCCTCTCTCTCAGAGTCAGCAGCTTGTTCCTTCAAAATAAAATACAGACTTCTCCTAAATTGAAGCTGCTCCATCGTCCCTTCTGGGCCTCCGTACATGTGTGCTGGTGTCTGTGTCTGCAGAGACTCTGTCCTCTGACTGGATTTTACTGTTCTGCTTTGTTCTGGTTGACTCGGGACGTTTCTGGGCGGAGCTGGTGTGTTTCCTCCAGCCAATGACAGCGCAGCAGGTGAGTTTAGGAGTGGATACAATTCAGTGAATTTGACGGATGTGGACGTAGCAGCAAAGAAGAGAAAATATAATCACAGTGAGGAGAAACACCAAGCAGATAAAGCTTGTTCTAAAAGGAGGGTGAACTTTGTGTTGTCTTTTACCCGTGGACGTGGAGTTGGTCTACTTCCTGTTGGACAGGCAGGTGACAAACACCGGTGGTTAGCTTGTGCTAGTGTGCGTTAGCTTGCAGTGTAGGTACAAGCAGTAAACATACACACTACGTCCTGCAGGGGGCGGAGCTTCTGGGGGGGATGAGCCTAGGAGGGGGAGGGGCCCAGTTTGAATGTCGTGTTTACAAACTGCAACAAACATTTCTACTGACCCCATATTTAAAGTTAGGGAGTCAGGTTTAGACATCGTCTTTGGGTTTAATTCGTTTTTGGACCGGGGAGGGAGCACTTTTTTTCTTTTCTGTTGCACACCTGCGCCCCTTAGACCGACATGAGCGACAACTGTAGCTGAGAGTGACAAAAACCTCGGCCTATAAATGTAAGTAACAAGTTATGAGTCATCGAGAAGCGTTAAAATAAACACATTTAAACACGTTTCCTGTGAGAGTGAGCAGGATAAAGACACAGAGATAAAATCGATCTCTCACCCTGTAGATGAAGTTGGAGCGTCCGACCGTCCCGATCTTTCCGATGTGGTTCATGAAGCACAGGTTTCCCTCAGTCGAGCCATACACCTCGCACATTTTAATGTTTCCAAAGCGACTATGAAACTCCCTCCAGACGTCCGGCCGCAGCCCGTTGCCCACGCCCATCACCACCTTGTGATCCTTATCCCGATCCGACTGTAGAGAGGTAGGACGTGAGGAGGTTATTATTCCTGATTTTTAAATGCTTCCAATCAGAAAATACCTTTTTGCTTTTGAAAAATGGAGAGAGGTTAGAACGCAGAAAGGTTTACAGACCGATGCAGAGCTGGATAAACACTGAAGCTTCAGTGTCCACCACATGGCAACCTGCGTGAGCATCGACTCTAGAGAGGAGGGGGCGGGGGGAGACAGCTCTCTACAATGTTTAGAATTTAGACTGCACTACCAATTTTAAACACTAGGTGTCAGAGTTACATGTTGCTCCTTTAATAAAAATACAAACAGTTAAGAATCTTCAACCTTCAAATCTCAAGATTTAATTTAGTTTCTGTGTTTGATTTTGTGCCTCAAATAAAAGCAGCTGTACTGAACATTATCTTATAATTCATGCTTTCATATTATTGAAACAATCTTTCGTCTCTCCTGGTTGTTTACATGTCCTCAGGAGGGCGTTTGTTTTCATATTTGCACATTGATCACCGCACGCACGCCGACAGAAATCAATCCTCACGCTTGTGTGCACATACTAAACGGTGTGAAAAAGTGCTCATGTGTTGTACGTGTCTACATGTTTAATTTACCAATCAAAACAGAGGACAGTCCATGACATCCCCCCCCAAACTCGCCCACACAGCTGAATAACAAGAGAGAGAGAAAACAGAGACAAAGAGGACTTTGAGTCCAATGAAGACGACCTCTGCCCTCACTCCGTGTGTGTGTGTGTGCATGTATTTCAATGTGAGTGTGTGCAAGCATGTCTCAGTGTCTCTGCATTCGTATGTGTGTCTCCGTGGCCATGTCTGTCTGTGTGTGTGTGTGTGTGTACATGTGTCTGTGTGTGTGTGTGTGTACATGTGTCTGTGTCTGTGTGTGTGTATGTGTACATGCGTCTGTGTGTGTGTGTGTGTGTGTGTGTGTACACTTGTGTCTGTGTGTGTGTGCATACATACAAGCAAGTCTCTCTCTCTGAACACACGTGTCTCTGTATGTGTGAATGTCTATGTGTGCATACAGTACATGTCTCAGTTTGTAGATGCAGTCTCTGTGTGTGTACATGTGTGTACATGTGTGTGTGTGTGTGTGTGTGTCTCTGTCCACCAACGGAGGATGCAAACACTAAAACAAAGCCCCTGCTTGTCTTCTGTCTCAAATTATTCACGAGTAGCTGCGACTGTAAGAGGAGAAAGAATCTGCTGTAAAGACTCTGTGCTCCAACTCCCTATGTCACTCTTGAAGTCTCAACCACTTCTTCATGCCGTGTGGCTTGTTTTTATGTCAAGTCACGAGTCGTTTAGTTCTCTTAAAGAGCAATGGTTTGTTGTTTCTTCATCGTCCTGTAAAGAGCATTTATATAGTCGATCAGACTTCTATTTTAAAGATGGCGTCTCTAAATTATCAGTGTTTCATGGCTGTCATATTTCAGATGTTCTTCATTCATTTCTGAGCATTCATCTTCAAATGAAAGACAAAGTGTGATGAGGATTGTGTGTAGTCAGAGTGTGGAGGATTTTGGCCCTATTTGTCCCCACAACCGTCAGGGGCCGTGGCCTGATTCACAGCTTGTCTCAACTGATTATTTGTCAAAATGATCCTAAAGCGGGAAGTGTCACGATGATTATTTTACTGCTCCTGATCTGGGATCCTAAATATCAGATATGTTTGATAATTAAGACTTCAGATCGGTCTGCCTCCGACGCAATAATCGCCATAGCCAATGAGAGCGAGCAGACCGGAGAGCGTCACCAGCCGGATGATGCGTTCTTTCACAGCTCACAAACATGGCAGCAAATATAAGGCACCTCTACCGTCTTCTAGGCCATTTTTTTTTCAGGTTTTTTGTTTTTTTACTGCACGCCATCTGACAATGTCGGTCATCCTCCTTCTGAAATCATGTTTGATCGCACAAGTTTCTGTGAGATCTTGTGCACGTATGTGGAATTGTTGCTTCAAACTGTGGGTGTGTGGTCTCTTGGTCGAATAAAACCTGATATTTATATAATTGTGCATCAACAGCAGAATGCTAAACGTTAGCTCACCTGAGGCTGGTTGCAGAGATATCTGCAGAGTTCCCCGATGTACTGGAAAACGGTCACGTTGTGTTTTCGACAGTCGCTCCAGAAATGTGAAGCTGAAAACTTCTTCTTCAGGATGCAGGTCGCTCCTGTGACACAACAAACAAGAAAACGTTAAAGTCAAAGTGTTTTCATATTCGTCTTATTTAGATGGGGTGCAGGTTTATCACAAAACAACCCTTGGTGCCGACCTGGCTTCCGTCCAGGACTTGTACTGGTCCCAGTCAGACAATGGGCACAAACTTTAAACTCCTCCCTTAGGTAGGCGCTACAGATCACTGTACACCAAAACAACCCAACACAACAACAGTTCCTTCCCCCAGACTGTCACTCAATTGGACTTGAGTCGCTTTGAAACCGCAGGTCACACCTTCACATTCACACACTTATGGCTGAACACCAGACCTTCCAGTTTAGAGATGACCCACTCTATCTCTGAGCTTCAGCCGCCCCCTCTGATGAATGCTGAACAGGCACAGAGGGTCAGAACTATCGCTGTGCAATAACCCTGAAACAAAATACCCACTGTGAATGTATCTACAGTTCCAAGAAAAAGTATGTGAACCTTTGGAATTTCTTTGTTTTCTGCATAAGTTGGCCATAAAATGTGTTCTGATCTTCATCTAAGTCTCAACAATAGACAAACACAGTCAGCTTAAACTAATACCACACAAACAATTATATGTTTTCATGTTTTTGTTGAACACAACATGTAAACATTGACAGTGCAGGGTGGAAAAAGTATGTGAACCCCTAAGCTAATGACTTCTCCAAGAGCTAATTGGAGTCAGGAGTCAGCCAACCTGCAGTCCAATCAATGAGACGAGATTGGAGGTGTTGGTTAAAGCTGCTCTGCACTATAAAAAACACACTTCAGGTTTGAGTTTGCTACTCTCAAGAAGCGTTACCTGATGTGAACCATGCCTTGCACAAAAGAGCTCTCAGAAGACCTACGATTAAGAATTGTTGACTTGCATAAAGCTGGAAAGGGTTACAAAAGAATCTCTAAAAGCCTCGATGTTCATCAGTCCACGGTAAGACAAATTGTCTATAAATGGAGAAAGTTCAGCACTGTTGCTACTCTCCCTAGAAGTGGTTGTCCTGTAAAGATGACTGCAAGAGCACAGCGCAGAATGCTCAATGAGGTGAATAAGAATCCTAGAGTGTCAGCTAAAGACTTACACAAATCTCTGGCACATGCTAACATCTCTGTTGACGAATCTACGATACGTAAAACACTAAATAAGAATGGAGTTCATGGGAGGACACCACGGAGAAAGCCACTGCTGTCCAAGAAAAACATTGCTGCATGTTTGAAGTTTGCAAAAGAGCACCTGGATGTTCCACAGCACTACTGGCAAAACATCCTGTGGACAGATGAAACCAAAGTTGAGTTGTTTGGAAGGAGAAAAAAAGGCACAGCACATCAAAACCTCATCCCAACTGTGAAGTATGGCGGAGGGGGCATCATGGTTTGGGGCTGCTTTGCTGCATCAGGGCCTGGACAGATTGCTATCATCGACGGAAAAATGAATTCCCAAGTTTATCAAGACATTTTGCAGGAAAACTTAAGGCCATCTGTCCACCAATTGAAGCTCAACAGAAGATGGGTGATGCAACAGGACAACGACCCAAATCACAGAAGTAAATCAACAACAGAACGGCTTCAACAGAAGACAATACGCCTTCTGGAGTGGCCCAGTCAGAGTCCTGACCTCAACCCAATAGAGATGATGTGGCATGACCTCAAGAGAGCGATTCACACCAGACATCCCAAGAATATTGCTGAACTGAAGTTTTGTAAAGAGGAATGGTCCAAAATTCCTCCTGACCGTTGTGCAGGTCTGATCTGCAACTACAGGAAAACGTTTGGTTGAGGTTATTGCTGCCAAAGGAGGGTCAACCAGTTATTAAATCCAAGGGTTCACATACTTTTTCCACCCTGCACTGTGAATGTTTACATGTTGTGTTCAATAAAAACATGAGAACATATAATTGTTTGTGTGGTATTAGTTTAAGCAGACTGTGTTTGTCTATTGTTGTGACTTAGATGAAGATCAGAACACATTTTAAGGCCAATTTATGCAGAAAACTAGAAAATTCCAAAGGGTTCACATACTTTTTCTTGCAACTGCATGTATGAAACCTAGTGTTTAAAATGGGTACTGCAGTCCAAATTCTAAACATTATAGAGAGCGTCTCTCGATATAGCATCTCCAATATTGATCCTAGTTTGAGCACGTTTCTGCTCGTGGAGCTTATTAGAAACATGCAGAGGCTTTTTAGGTCGGGTACAATCACTTCTATCTGAACCAGTTCGAGGACACCGGCCTGCGTTTGTTAGCTCAGTCTTTCTGAGTATCGGAGGACGTTGAACTCGTAAACTTTAGTAACAGTGGGAAAAAAAAATCCAAAGATTGATCGATCGCTGAGCTGCAGTTAAAAAACTTTTTTATCACACGACGTGAAGGTTCGAACCGCTGAAGGGTAACAAAAACGATGACGTAACATAATTATATTCTCCATAATAGTCTCCAGTGTCCATGGCGCTCTGAAGCCTCATTAAGCTGCCGGCTCCTCAAAGGGCTCACATAGTCAGTCTCTGTGGACACACCGGAGACCGGTCTGCCAAGAAAATCTCTTCTGGGTATCAAACAATGAAGTCAGTGAGCTGAAACACAAAGCTGGTCCACATCCATCCCTTCATATCAACACGTCTCCTCTTCTTCTCCATGAACTTCCAGGTCCCAGCTAGGATCAGTACCAGGTCCCAGTTTGATGACCTGTTAGCTAGGATCAGTACTCAATATGGTGTACAGTCTCGTGTCTCTCTCGTCACATCCCTAGTTTACATAAATTCTGCAGATTCTTTTGGATTTCTGTGTGTGTGTGTGTGTGTGTGTGTGTGTGTGTGTGTGTGTGTGTGTGTGTGTGTGTGTGTGTGTGTGTGTGTGTGGGACAGTCCCTCCCTCATAAGACACACCTGTTGAACCTGTCTACCTGCTACCCATCCACTCATAATCCAGACTCACTTTCCCTCCACAAGTGATGAAAACTTGACAGAATGAGTCAGACCTGCTCGAGGTGGAGGATGTCCCGTCAAACTTCAGACCTTTACCTGCAAATTTCCTCCCCCATTCATCTCAAATCAGCTAACCTGTGCTGCAGGTTTTGCATAAGGTGAAGGGTGGTATGGAGCTAATGTGCACAAACGCTTCATCATCATCATCATCTCATCAGAGTCTCTTTAAGAGCCGCAATTAAGCTGAGCCGTCATTCCCAGAAAGAAAAGAAAAAGGAGTCAAAGTTTGCTTTCTTCAGGCGACTTTAAGTTAAAAACTGAACTTTTCATTGAGTCAAAACAGACAAGTGAACCGCACCAATAGTCTCCCGTTGTGAGGTGCATGTGTGAACAACCAGGTCAGGAGAATCTCCAGAGCAGTCCTCCTGAAATGATCTAGACATTTTCAGGAGTGCAGACGTGATAATTCTTGTGATGTCTGACGGTAAATCTACTGCAAACAAGAGCTGCCAACAGCTAATTCTGCTAACTATTAAGATGCAAATAAATGTTACACAAAAAGGCAAAAAAAGAGACATCATATAGAGATGCTGCGAGTCTTCTTACCCAGCTCTATGGTTCCTCCGATCCCGATCAGAGAAGCGGCGCTGTGGTAGAGCGGCAGAGGGACGTACATCACGTCGTCTTCAGTCACCCCAAACGCCCAAAATCCTGCAGCTGCCTTCAGGCTCTGCAGGTGGGTGATCACTGCGGCTTTAGGGAGACCTGAGGACACAAGAAACACTGCGTTACTAAAAGTCCTTTTACTCTGCAGAGCTGCAAGGCGTCACTCGTTCTTAAAAATTCAGCTTTTTCATAATTCACTAATATACTAAAAGTTTGAGTTCCCAAAGAGAGAGAAACTCTTATTCCTGTGAAATCAGTCATTTGAGGTCAAATCAAACCGCCTGACGTCCCTTTCACCCGCCCCGCCTTCTGTTTCACTCCGATTTAAAATCTCCAGCTGCATTTTTTTAAAAGTGTGTTGTAAAAAGCGGATGTAAACGCCGCTCCTCGGGGTCACATCAGTGTTCACGTCCTTGTGATGGAGAAAGTGATGACATCCGATCGAGCGGGAGTCAAAGCCGGAGCAGGAGTTTCCGAATTCAAACAGACTTTTAGTGTCTTTGAGTAAAGGCTAATCTCACGCTCACTTAAACAGATTAACTCGGACTGAATCTCAACTGTTTGTGAAGTGTGAATAAAAAACCTTATGACGCTGTGACCTTCTGTCGAAGTTTTTAAGAACACTTTTAAGAAATGACTCTTCATTGATTTTTGTAAAGGTTGGGAATAACCCGACGGGAAAGTTCAAGCGCGTTAAAAAAGTTTAACAAGAAGTCAGGTCATGCTGAGTGGATACAGACAGGGTGTGTGGGGTCAGAGGTCACAGAGTCTGTGTGGCACTACAGATGAAAATAGAAATGTGTAGATTTATAGGTTAGGACATAAACAAACCTGTGGTCCCCGAGGTGAAGATGTAGAGCGTGGGGGATTTGAGGGAGGTGGTGGCTCGTAGCGCTGCAGGTACAGGCTCATCAGACGCGGCGTCGATTTTATCCAGCAGCGTGTTCACCTGCGTGTGCTCGCTGTGGCTCTTCACGGCCCACACCCGGATGCTGTCGTCCAGCAGCGTGGTCAGGATGCCGTCCAGAGTGTCCAACAAGTCTGAGACATGAGACAAACAAGATGTAATCAAATGAACAGAAACATATCCAGTTTTATTTTCCCTTTTTAGTCATTCTTCCAACTAAAACTTTACTTCAGGCACTGCGTCCACCAGGCATATGCTGCATTCATGTGGTGTCTGACACATCGGAAAAACAAGTTTCCGAGTTGGAAAAAGCCGAGAACGCCTCCTCAAGTCGGACAACAAATTAGAAACTCCAAAAAGAATTTGGTGCCAGACTTGCCGACTTATTCACCATGAACATACTAATACTTTTTTAATCGGATTTTATTGTTGTGTTGGGATTTTTCTTTTTTCTGTAAAGCACTTTGTGACGTTGGTTTTGATAAGTGCTTTATAAATAAACATTATTATATTATTATTATAACATGGCGGCAAAATGTTTTGTTAATGCTTAAAAATGTTTATCAATTGACAAATTGCACATCAAGTTTTAGCTCAACTATGATGTGTCACATTTCACAACCAGTCAGAAGAACGCCTTCCACAGTCAAATCCAGGATCCGAGGAGGAGGAACCTGAATGCAGCGTTTTCCCCCAAACGGTCATTAACAGAAGAACATCCTGTTTACGTTTGGCAGCTGCTCGGCTGTTATCAGACTTCTTCCCTGAATGTGTCTGACGGTGGCGGGTTGCAGTGAGGACAGCGTCCTCTGACCAGCATCACGTCTGTGTGCTGAGCAATGATCAGCCGTCACATGGCTGCAGCGTGGTGAATCTTATTAAGTGGAGACGCAGGAATCCCCCACTCACACACGGGAGGAGAGTCAATGAAGTCCTCCTCCTCCTCCTCACTCGCTCACAGCAGAAACATACAGCTGGAAAGCATTGTTCTTATGAAAGCAGGAGGTCGAGGTCGTCTCCCATGTTGAGCAATCCCTCAGGTTGCTCAACAGATCAGACCTGAAGAGAAGCGACCTGACAGGACTCTGAGCTCCACCTTTCTGCATTAAAATTAAATATAAAAAACTGTATCTGACTGATCGGGCCGGATATAAAAGCTAGTTTTCTGCAGAGTTCTGAAATGAAAAGATGCAATTATTCATCGATTTGTTGTCAAAGAATCCCCGACACTTCAGAGAATCTGTCAACAGTCAGAGTGAAGGTTTGTCGAGGTGAACGTCTCTCTCCTCGTCTCTGACACTAAACTGAAATCATTTCAGGTCGAGGACAGAACGACACCTTTAAGATGTCCTCTTAAACTCTTTAAAAACCTGAATCACAGTTTGCATCCGTTTATAGGAACATGTTTTATCTAGCAGACATCATCGATTCATCTGGAAAATGAGCATCAGCTTCAGCCCCGAGCTGCAAAGTCTCCTTTAAGCTCTGAGAGAAGTTGTCGTGTGAGAAGCCGATTCATAAAAATCTGTGGTGGAAAGTTCACTTTGTGCGATTCTAAAGGTCTTCATGTAAATATTAAATACTGCAGTGACATGAGACAAGTCACTAAACACGACAGCACCCAAAAATCCTGCACGCGTACGGTTGAAAAACTGTGCAGCCTCCTCTGATTCCTGACTTCCTGTCCCGTCTTCTCGCCGCCTGTGGCTGTGATTACCGCCTATGCTCAGGTGTGCAGGTGACGTAGCAGCAGACTGACAATTTGAGAAATTGGTAAATGGGTAAAATTCAAACGCCGCTGACCGAGCAGCAGGAGCAATTCGGGGTTAAGTGTCTTGGCCAACGACATGTAGCTGCAGGAGCTGGGGAACGAACCCTCGACCCTCGACCTACCGGTTGAGAGACGACCGAGCCACAGCCACCTATTTCTCATTTTCATCTCCCTGAATGATTATAATGATAACAGCTCATGGGTTAATTATGGAGTTATTTGAAGTTGTTTTCCTATTTTTGCAGTAATGGGCAAAATATACAATCTTGCATTATTTTAAATTATTTAAGGCATCTTGTGACCACCCTGGGGGTCCCGACCCTCACATTGGGAACCACTGTTTTAAAACAAACCAATCTCTTGATTTTTTTTTAAAATGATAGTAAACAGCAGATCTTAAGTCATACTTCCAAAAAGAGAGAGAGAGAGAGAGAGCACAGTCTCATAAATGCACCGGCCACATTTCAGTACATCAAAGTTTGTTTGTGCAGTTTAGAGATAACGTAACTTTTTGATCATTAAAAACAACAAATGACTCGATGTTGGAGGTTTAGGACTTTACATTTTTGTTGCCATGGTATCAATATCGTTTGATTTTTACAAAATCTTATCAAAGTTTAAAAATCTGGTGACTACATGTCAACTCCAACTCAGTGCTGCTTTGCAGGAGTCGACTAATAAATGAACTGATTGATCGATAAATAATAGTCGATTAATCGATGATGAACATGATCGTTTGTTGTAGCCCTAACGTCAGGTATTACTGATGACCTCACACGGAGCAGAAGTTCAATAAAGTTATTTTTTTAAGTTAAATTATTAAATTGGGTTATTTATTTCTCAATCATTACTTTGCATACATACTATTATTGTAATTATTGTTACAACAATTATTGATGCTGTATTATTATTAGTATAGTTGTAATATACTTATATTATGACTACATAGAATTGCCTAATTGATATAGGGGTGTATTGGAAGAACACTTGCTAAATCTATTTAAGTATATACATCTAATAATAATAATAAATGTTATTTATAAGCGCCTTTCAGGACACAAGGACACTGTACAACAATCAACATTTTTTTCAAACATCTAGATTTTCTCTGGTTATTCATGTATTGTTTAGTTTTTTTATCATTATTATTTATTTATATGTTTTTGTGTCTGTTTGAAACACACCACAACATGTTCATGTTGACAGTGGCTTTGCTTGTAAAGTTTTATGTTTTCCTATTAAACAAATCTTTAAAAATATATATATATTAAATTGTGGCGAAAGTATTAAAACTCAAAGATGAAGCGCGCGCGCTGAAGCCTCTCAGGTGTTCTGCTGTGACGACACAGTGACGTGCGGTGCAGCAGGTGCCTGGTGCGGCCGGTCTTTACCTGAGCCCACGATGAGGGTCTTGGCTCCGCAGCAGTTGAAGCAGTGGAGTAAAGACTTGGACTTGATGTTGGTGTTGAGAAACGCCACCGAGCAGCCCACCTTCGCCAAACCGAACCACGCGCACAGGAAGTCGGGCTCGTTGCTCATCAGGAGCGCGACACATTCCCCTTTCTTTAACTTCAGCTCATCCAGGAACACCTGAGCGAACCTGTTGCTGCGCCTGTCGATGTCCCGGTACGTGTGCACGCTGCCCTCGTAGATGACAAACGGTTTGTCCGGGATCCGCTGCGCCTGCTGGATGAACCGGTCCAGCACCGTGCGCACGCGGGATGTCACTTTGAAGAGCTCGAGCGTCACTCCGTACCGTACCACCTTGAGCAGGAACAGCAGGTCCCTCCAGAAGTACGGGAAGCAGAGTCTCTGTAGGACGTGAGCGGAGAAGAAGCCCGCGAACACGGCGGAGAACCATCCCAGAGACAGCGTCATGTCAGCGGCGGAGAGGAGCGGGAGGTGTCGGTGCAGACTGCGCTGCTCACTGCGCTCCACGGGGCATCATGTCCAGGTAATAAAGTCACACTGCACGAGTGATGTAAGCCAACTCTATTACAACACACACAAGTACACAAACACGCAGCTACACGCCGGAACATGAGGCGTGCGCCTTCAAAATAAAAGCGAGCATTGTTATTGAGGATGTGTTTTCTAGGTTTGTTTACAAATATGGAGTAATTAACTGATTGATTGATGTCCTCTTAGGGATTCAATAATATACAAATTCAACACTTATGAAATAGCCTCATGTATTTACCATTACACAAAAGTATAATGATATAAGAAAGTCTTGAAGCCTTTCTGTGAAGGGAAACTTGACATTTTGGAAACCAATAAAACAATGATTTTATTGCTGATCATAAATTTATGAATGTAATGTTCAGTCCCTCTCTTGGGACTCCGGTGACCAAGTGGTTATTTCGTGCAACCCACGGTCCTCAAATCCTATGTAATCCCCCCCCCCCCCCCTCTCTCTCTCTCTCTCTCCCTGATGTATGACTCTATTCACTGTCCTGTCTCTAAAATAAAAGCCCTAAAATAAATCTTTAAAAAAGACGACCCTTCTTTAGGATAAAGCACGATGACACCATGTCCCCTGCCTTAATCAGTCACAATAGATTAGGACAAATAAACCTATAAATAAACGTATTTTATTGGTGAAAGCGATCCACTCATGAGCACGCCTGTGATAAAAACGCAACACGAGTAAAGCATTTTATTTAGAAAGGCCCACTCGTACACTTCCGGTATGTCCGAGTTTGTCTTAGGTATCTTGTCAGTGTTTTCATGTAGAGCCATGTGTCATGTGACCGTTGCTATGGAGACGAGTGGGCGGGTCCAATGAGGCGCTTTCAGTTTGAAAAATCAGATAAACAGAGAGGGAGAGAGACACACACACACACACACACACACACACACACACACACACACACACACACACACACACACACACACAAAGGGAGGGGCAGTTATTAAAGGGAGGAGAAATGTCATTTTTTTCTTCCTCCCAAGCGGCTGAAATTTAAACTTGAGTGAAATTTCATTATTTTTATGATGCATTTTATGCTGTGACAACTAGTTGAACCACACAAATGCCAAAACACCTTCAACATCATCCATTTTCAAAAAGGACTTTACACCATGAGAGTGACGTCATGGCAATATGGCTGCCGTGGGGATATGGTTAAAATGTTCTAATGGCAATTTTCCAATTTTTTCCTTTGCTCCAATTAATGCCATTAATACTCAGGTAGGGGTGAAGTCTTACGCAGATGCAAACAATGATTTTCCAGCCGTTATTAAAGTTGAGTTGAAGGTTTATTGAAGTGACTTGATGAAGATAAGAGAACAAAAAAAACATACCATTTCCAGTGAAGCGTAGCCAGTAGAATGAATGAATTGTAGTTTGTCTGAGTGCTGGTCTGAAACATGAATGCCGGTCTGGTGAGAACTGTCTGTGCTCCCCGTACCTGTGCCCTCCCTTTCCTGTCACCTGTGCTACTATATATATATATATATATATATATATATATATATACACCCCTGTGCATTCAGTGTCCCTACTGGAAAATAATATATTCAGATAAATCTAATTATAAAACATGCCAACGATAAACACAAAATGTCTCCTACAAATGTGTTTAAATATAGACGCACGTGCAAGTTGCTAAAAGGGGTCAACTGTATTTAAATAAAATGCAAATTACAAATAATATAAAAGGAGTGTGTGAAATAGAAAGAGGTGTGTATTGGTTTAAAAATAATCATATCCCTGTCACCTCCAGGGCTCTGATATTTAGATTTGGGGCGGCAGAAGCTCAGTCCGCTTGGACTGGAGGGTCGCCGGTCCCGATTTGGACCATAACATGGAAGATGGTCTGGTAGCTGGAGAGGTGCCAGGACACTTCCCCGAGCACTGCCGAGGCGCCTGTGAGCAAGGCACCGAACCCCCAACCGCCCTGATGCGCTCAGAGGAAGATGAATGAATAAAAGAGTAAAGTCAAAGTCATGAGGGCATGAGAGGAGAGGTTTCTTCCTCCTCCACAGACTGACGGAGCAGACTCTATTCAAATAAACCGGCACGGAGAGAAGGAAAACACGGGAAAGCAAACAGATACTGTTCCTGCTAAAGTTTAGAGAAAAGTCAACAACATTTTGAGTCCAAATATTTAAAAAATGCAGGTTTACAAAGTGAGAACAAACACGAGCTCTTGGAGTTTTTTTAAGATCGCTAACACTTGACAAAAGGACGCTGTTCACGCTCAGCCTCACACACTTCTCTACATCAGCATGTGTGTGTGTGTGTGTGTGTGTGTGTGTGTGTGTGTGTGTGTGTGTGTGTGTGTGTTCACTTTTACACACTGCCACTGAAACAGCACACTCAACCAGCGAACACCTGACCACAGCATAGACATGTGAAGACACCTGTAACCAATCAGATCACAGAAACCACAAGAGACGTCCTCGCCACAGACTGAAACACACACACAGGCTGAAACACACACACACATGCACAAACAGGATCCTGTGGACGTTCACTAATGGAGAGATGTCAGAATGAGAAGGGGGGGTGTACTTAGGGGTTCGGTGCCTTGCTCAAGGACGCCTCTGCAGTGCTCAGGAAGTGACCTGGCACCTCTCCAGCTACCAGACCAACTTCCACCTGGTCCGCACCGGACCAATTCCCATACCAAGTCCCTACAGAGAGAGAGAGAGAGAGAGAGAGAGAGAGAGAGAGAGAGAGAGAGAGAGAGAGCTGGGAATGACATGCGGGAAAGGAAACCCAGGTCGGACTTGAACCCAAGCCGCCCACTTTGAGGACTACATTAGACACTCCATCAGCGTCCCGTAACTTAATCTCTGTGACATCACAGCTCCATCCCGCACGTCACATCTCACTGCATGCAGGAAAAAGAAAAATGAGATCAACTGGATTTCCACCTTTTTGACCTTTAAAACTCAAAAATGTTCGTTTGTGAGAAAGAAACGGTCACCTCATCTGGTTTCATCTGGCCTTCTTCCTGGTTCTGTAGGAACCAGGAAGTGACTTTGTGCGCTCTCGTCCTTCACTTTCTCTCCGTTTCTTCTCTCTACGGGAAATATTGGTGAGGGAAATCTAAAACAGTCATGTGAACAAATATGATACATTATCTTAAAACTGCACAGCGATAGGACACAAAGCCACAGCGCTTTTTAAATGTTGAGCCTCGTATCGAGTGTTGACGTTCAACATTCAGTCGGATAAATACTTCACATTCCTGTGGTGATCAACTCGGACTCTGGGGTCTTCAATGTTTCCTAAAATGATTAACTGTCGTGCAGGACTCCAAGATGTTGTGCTCTAGCTCCACCTTGTGCTGAACTGAAGAACTACAAAAACATGACAACAGGGGGTTGTTTGTCTTTACATTTCCTCTCCTCTCGTCCCTCGTGAAAATGAGGGAGTAGTGGGAGGTAGAGCTACTGCCCAGTGTGGTGGTGGGGGGGGGGGGGGGGGGGGGGGGGGGCACCTCACCCGAGCTCCGCTTCCCCGTCATCCTTCACCAGGAATATGGCGCAATCCTGTTAGGCTGAGATGTGGTGGAGGGGGGGGGGACGACGACGACGACAAGTATCCATTAGGAGACAAGTACCTTTATGATCTTAACACTCATAACTTGTTGTGGGGTTTTCCCAGTATGGAGCAGTGGTGTGAGTGCGAGTCTTCATTTCGTCATTGTCTTCATTCTGACTTCTCTCAATGTGTCTGCAGCAGTTAGGAGGAAGTAAAGCCCCTCTGTAGGGAAATAAATAACAAAGAGTTTGAATTTCCTTATTGCGCTCCCACATTTACTCTAAATTATCCCTAAATTATCTTTTTCATTTTACATTGTAAGCTTTTTTTGAAACCCCACAATCTCAACTGATCACTGAAGCTGACACATAAACTTTGACTCTCGCTCTACATGTTTCGAACAGGACCCTCTTAAATTATAATGTCCTTCTCTTAATTTAAAAAAAAAGTTGGGTACCAACCGTACCAACAGGAAGACTTTTATTTCTGGCTCCAAAACCTTTTCCAAATGTTTTTTTTTAATACACAATGACTTATAATTTAAGCGTGCAAGACCGCTTGATTTATGAATGAGTAATTGATACTAAACTATTTAGGGGAGATACATTAGCACAAAATCAGGAGGACAATAAGTTTGATATCTTTGGAAAAAAAGGCAAATTATCTCGTTATTTCGATAAAACAGCGTTTTATGAATAAAGGGACATTAAGACCAACTGCAAAAAAAACAATTAAATCCCTCCATTATTCATCTAAATAGTTTCAAATAAATGTGTTCCAGCTGTATTAAATTAAATCATGTTAAAGTTTTTAAAACGTGTTTTGTTATGATGTCATTCCTTTAAAGCAGGGAGGACATAACATGATGAGATTGGTCAGGGAGTGGAGTAGACGCGATGTTGTGATCAGCCCTGACTTTTGCCTGACAGGCAAGGATTCCCGCCAGTCCGTGTCTGCCCACAACACGTTTCACCGTCATAAACTTTAGAGTAGCTGTAATCCTGGGCAAACATGGGATGTTTTTACTAAAAGCTAGTTATTACCAGTTTTTTTTAAAGTTGGGTGACATTTTGAAAAGTACCTACCGAGAGGATGTGCCTTCAAGATGTGTTCAAGGACATAATATCTGTTCGTGCCGCTGAACCGAACAACGCTTCTTCTTTTTTTTTTTTAGCTCAAGGCGGAAGTTCACGTTTGTTAGCAGAGTTGAAAACAGAAGAAGACTCTAATCGGCGTTTCAAACTGAAGAGTTCTGAATAAAGGTAATACTGGTCGGTGTGTGCCTCGTGACAGAATTAAATGAAAGGTGTGGGTCGTTCGAGAGGCCTGCTTTATCTTCCTGTGTGTGTGTTTACATGTTCAAGTTCCTGCCTGGTGCCTCATGAGTCATATCAACATGATGCTGCTGTATGTTTAAAGGGAGACGACATATAATGTTATATTATAGCAGTATTATCGTCTTATGTATGTGAACACAGTAACACGCTAACCAGTGTTGCGCTAATATAGTTTACTGTTTAGTTAGCTAATAGCTTACCCGGTGTTATGGTGTAAAGAGTGACCGTGTTAACTGGAGACTTTCAGCCGTCTGCGGTTGTCTGGGCTACAACAGAAGTTGAAAACGGAAAGTGTCTGAACGAGTGCTTCTCTGTAGTTACCAGACCTAACAAACTAACAGATTACATACAATAATTAATGAAGAGTAAAGTGGATGCACTATGATATCTGTTTTTATACAACAGTTAGTTTCCTAGCAATCTGATTGGACAAGTAAAAGGTATTTCATGAGTGACAGGAGGCATCACTGGGACTTTTCACATGATGATGTATCCCTCCTCAGCATACAGGAGCTCTGAATACTTTTAAAGAACATTTCCAGCTGACAGAGTTTTTCTGTATTCATCATGTGAAACCTCAGACAGACTCTGACGTCACTGGTTTCATGATCACGTTCAAGTAAAGGTTCATACTACAGAGGAGCTGCTCTGTGGTAACCATGGACACCAACAGGAGAATAGAATGTCCGGGTTGCTTAGCAACAGCCTAGTTTCACATCAACTGTGGAACTAGTTAATTTAATGGGGTTAAAAAATAATCTGTAGTTGTTTTTACAACTATTTTCTGCTAGTATAACCATTGCATTAAAGTAATATGACACTGGAGGAGGAGATGTTGTTCTGGATATCAGCACTGATGTGATTATCTTCAGACTGAATCATGTTGAAGTCGATGTGTTAAATTTATGACGAGAAAATGGAGCTTAAAAGTAAAAATATCAAGTGAAAACCTTTACCTGTCCAAAGACACTTTTACTTCCTCTGTTAACTGACATTTTCAGAGGAGGGGGAGAAATGTTCAGGTATAATATTTCAGAAAATTAAAGGCACAATCTGCACAGACTGGATTGTAACACTACTGATAGTGTCGTCACCTCTCTTGTTGTTCTTGCAGTTGGAAGACACCAAGTAACGACCATCATGCAACCGTGACACCATGACGACCGATCCCAGGAGTTTTACCGAACCAGAATCTGTCAGCCCATGACACCTGAAGGTCTGAGCCAGTCGCTGAGTCCAGGTGTGTGTTCTCCTCAGAGGAGAGCAGCGAGCAGCCTCAGTGTTACACGCACATGTTGAGCAAGATGGATCCTCCGACGACTTCTGAAGGTTGTGACGCAAACACCAAACTGAGGTACGTCCTCCTGGATGAACAAAAATGTCTGACTGGGCAATAAAATTCGTTTTTTTTAGATTTTATATTTGTGGTTAAGGAGAATTTTGAAAAATGAGTCCCTCTTTGACTTACCCCACCACTCCCCCTGGGCTTCCATTGTTCACATCCTCCCCCCTTGTTTACTTCCTGCTGAGTGGCCCCAGGTATGTGGTCACCAGCCACCAGTATGTTTCTGCCTCATCTGTACTTTAGCTGAATCCTGAAACAACATCGTGCGCTAGAGATCTAGGTCAAAAGTAGCAGCTGGTAAGAGCTGAATCTTCCATTAAGTTCTCCTCTTCTCCATGCTTCAGCTCCATGTCAGAGACCCCCATGTGTCGGATCTGTCACGACGGGGGGGCTCAGGAGGAGCTGCTGTCGCCCTGTGAGTGCTCCGGCTCTCTGTCCTCCATTCATCGCAGCTGCCTGGAGCACTGGCTGTCTGCTTCACGGACCAGCTTCTGCGAGCTCTGCCAGTACCAGTTCACGGTGACGAGGAGGTCCAGGTCTCTGCTGGAGGTACAGGAGGAGAAGGGGGGGGATGATATGAGACATATAGCATCATGTTGGATCTTAACGCTGACTCTGCTGTCCTCCCTGTTGAAGTGGTTACAGAACCGGTCCCTGCGTCAGGAGAAGCGGACTCTGTTTGGAGACATGGTGTGTTTCCTCCTCATCACTCCTCTGGCCTCCGTCTCCGGCTGGCTCTGCCTGCGCGGTGCCATCGATCATCTCCACTCCTCCAGCCGACTGGAGGCCATGGGGCTCATCGCTCTCACCGTGGCGCTCTTCACCATCTACCTCTTCTGGACGCTGGTCAGTGTGATGAGTGTTTGTTAAACATACATTGATCTGCACGGGTTTATTCTGACCCTGATTTAAACTGGGTCAGAATCGGATGTCCTCGCTCTTCTCTCCTTCCTGCTAGCTAACCGTAAACTTCACAAATGTTCTGCGAGTCAGCAGGTGCTACCGAGGTGTCAATGTGTGATCCGTGTCTCCCTCAGGTGTCTCTCAGGTATCACTGTCGGCTGTACAACCAGTGGAGAACGTCCAATCCGATAGTGATCCTCCAGCTGCCCCGCCCACACAGCCCGGTGTCGGCTCGTCACTCTTTACAGTCCTCACAGAGAGGGAGGCAGCCGTCCAAAGAGTCCATCGTCTGAGTCCCAGTCCAGGACTAAGACTGTGTCCCACAGGGGGGAGATGGTGGGGGGGGATATATCTGCACTTTAAACTCTGCTCTGACTGCTTCTGATGGGGCTGTGAGCAGACGCAGGGAGGACTGACTCACCTGTGAGCACACCTACACACCTTCAGGGTGATGGAGCGGCCATGTTGACTCCTGATGAAGGAGGGACCATCATCGACCGATCATGATTTAGCACTGTGATCGAGACGCGGAGCAACAGCCGAAATACGCTGTTGTAAAGAATCCAAGTTTGATATCTTCACTACTTGGAGAAATATTCTGGCTCCCACATTTCACACTTCAGGGCGTAAAACAAAGTAAAAATGTGTTTGATGTGAAGTTTAATGTGTAATTCTAATCAACGAGGGTCATTTGTTTGATCTGAACTCGTGCTCACATTAAAGGTCGTCTCCTGGTTCAGGTCCGTGCACACTAACAGATTCTGTTCTGTTAAGAGGTTCATGGAGAGTTTTCGCACTTTTCTTTGATTTATAATTAAAGTATTTGATAAGAGCATGATTTATACCAAAGAGTATTTTTATTAAAGCATTATGTTGTGAGGGTTTTATTTGTTTGAGGATGTAATTTAATTAAATAAAATGTTTCCTACTAAACAGTTGATGTGGGATTTTATTTTAATTGAGCTTGTATATTTCTTGTCTTCTGACTACTAAAACAGCTTTTACACCGCAAGTCACACCTACACATTCACACCCTGATAGTAGAGGCTGCTGAGTAAAGAGTCCATCACATTCACACACCTCTGACAAAGCAGAAGGAGCAAGGAGTTAAGTGTCTTGCCCAAGGATACATCAAACATGTGGCTGCAGGAGCTGGGGATCAAACCCCCCGACATCACTGTTAAATCTGACACATTCACCTGCTAAAGCTTCAATATTAAGGTCAGAAGTTGGACTATTTACAACTATTACAGCAGCTCTCTGCTTTGATAATTACTGGATGTAAATGTTTGATTGTCCCGTGTGCAGACATGTTGGGCTGAAGAAAGAGACGCAGGTACAAGAAAACATTTAATCATTCAGCTACAAAGGCTACAAGTCAGAGCATGCATTTAACACACCAACACAAAACTTACTTCAAACAGTTTAAAGAGCAAAAGTTAAGAATACAATCAACACTTTTTTATTAGTGGTGCAACACGTATTCAAAGTCAGAGACAGAAATGTTTGCAGCATTTAAACCCCGGAGGTGCAGAATGAGCGTTTCACAATTCGTCACATTATTCTGGAGCTTCTTTTTATTTGGAGGAAAATCATGAAAACTAGAGCAGGAAGTCGCTTCCAGGCCGGTTTGAGTCCAAACACTTTCTGCACACACGGGGTTAAACATCTGCAATCAAACTTCAAACACTTTCTGACTTTCTTTGAATACAATCATACAATCATGGTTTGCTTTTTTCAGTTTTTGTCTTCTCAAGAGACGAGCAGAAACACGTCCTAAACCGATGTTTCAACATTTTTAAATCTGACTTTTTGTCATGTTCAGGTCCAAACTCATCCCAGGAGGAAATTTAAAGGAGCAATATGTAAGAAATCTAGTGAGTGAAATGGTAAAGTGACCTTACTATCTGATCAGACATTAAGGAAACATGCTATGTTGAAGTGCTGGCTTCTCTGACAACAATGCAGCAACCAGTATGTCCTCCTTCTAACTTTAGATTCTGGTCCTGAATGATCTGGATTTGTTTGGACCAGAGAAGGTAGGCGGTTTTAAGGCACCCCCACACGGCCGTTTTGGACACCCCTCGGTTTACCAGATATGAGAGCAGTTATCAGGTCAAACCAACAGGTGTTGCAGTGATGGAAGCGGGCAAGAGAAGTGGTTCAGATAGAAGTGATTGTACCCGACTTAAAAAGCCTCTGCATGTTTCTAATAAGCTCCACGAGCAGAAACGTGCTCAAACTAGGATCAATATTGGAGATGCTTTTGAAAAATGGAGAGAGGTTAGAACACAGAAAGGTTTACAGACCGATGCAGAGCTGGATAAACACTGAAGCTTCAGTGTCCACCACATGGTGACCTGCGTAAGCATGGACTATACGGGGGGGGAGACAGCTCTCTATGATGTTTAGAATTTGGACTGCAGTACCCATTTTAAACACTAGGGGTGATGGTTACATATTGCTCCTTTAAGGAAGTGAATAGTGTTCTTTTTTTTAACAATCTTGCTGTAGTATTTTTTTTTACAAATTGTAAAGTGATTTAATGACCGAAACTGTCGCTGACATCTCGCGACTTTTCTTGTGGTTTTGAAGGCCTAAAATGAAGCATCCATAATAAAATAAGATAAAACATAATAAAATAACAAAATTAAAATCTATTTAAAAAATGACATTGCAAAAACTCGCCGTCCGTCTGAGTTCAGTTGGTTGTCGAATGTTTTATAACAGTAAAAACTACAAAGCGGTGTCGATATGTTCTTTTGGTTCTTCTACCGAAAAACTCTTTTGTACTTTTATGTGAAATTGAAAGACAAAATAAAATCCATACATTTTATTGAAATACACTACAAAAGATAGAAAAATAGTTCTAGTATTACAGTTGGCAGCAGACTGGCTGGGCTCAGAGGAGGAGGAGGTGCCTGGTTGGTGCAGAGTGATCACATGATGGAGCAGCCTCTCTTAGCGGTGCGAGGGTCTCCCTGAAAACAGACAAGCATACACAAATATGTATACATTAGGGATGTCATGATTATAGGAAAAATCGAACACCTGTTTTGTCACCACGGCAACAACAATATGAGTGCAAGGCGCCCAATATTTGGACTTTGAAAATTACCGTGAAAATTGCAGGCAAACAGGAAAGATTAGTACAATTAATTTGGCATCAATCTGGTACCTCGCTCTCCTCTCTATTTCTCTCGCCGCAGCTTTGGGTTAACACGTGTAAGAAAGTTTAATCAATTAAATGAACATCAAAACTAGAGATCGAGACCATTAACTCAGGAGGAAAATGTTTACCAATAGAACAAATCGACTGAGAAGTAGGAACATTTTTATCATGGTCTACTGCCCCTGCTGGCCATGAGAAAGAATGCAGGTTTAAGGCACTTTCTTTTTTGCAGCTTTAAAGTCAAAACGAGAGGATTCTGTCTCCGTGTGCAGCACAGTAGATTCATCTTTTCAAAGGGGGAACTGAAACTCCATCTTTTTGTCTCACCTGCTGGTGGAGGAATTCTTCCTCAGCCTCTTCATCATCATCTTCCTCCTGCTCGACTGCTTCAGTCGTGTATATGGTGGTTCTCTTTGCCACCTCCTGAAACACACACACACACCTCTATCAGCATCAAAACACAAAAACAAAGAGTAAAATCCAGAGTACTTTTAGATTTTAACCTTAGAAGATGTGGGAAATTGTGCAGGATGTGTTTGTGTGTAGAACACGTGTATGTGTGCAGGACATTGTGTGTGTGTGTGTGTGTGTGTGTGTGTGTGTGTGTGTGTGTGTGTGTGTGTGTGTGTGTGTGCTGGACATGCGTGTGTGTGTGTGTGTTCTGACCTCTCCCTGAGGGTTGATGAGCACCACGTGGATGTCCTCCCCGTTGCTCCAGGAGCTCTGGTTCTTCCACACCAGGTCTGCGGGGGGTTTGGAGCTCACACCTGCGTCAGAGGCCCACACCTGCACGCAGCAAACACACGGTCAGACTCTGATTCATCACAGACACAGGGACTCAGATGGAGCGACGGAGAACAAACATGGCTGCATTTCACAGACAGATGAAACTCTCACCATGACTTTCTGTCCCGCCTTCAGCACGTATTTAGGAGTGAACTTGTAGGTGGCCGTCTCACTTCCGATCGTCTTGATCATCTCGTATCCCACCATGGCCTGGTCCTGAACACAACATTTCAAGTTGAATAAATCGGATGCATCTCTTCACAAACCTTCAGGGGCTAAAATCCTCCGACGTCTCACCTCGTCTCCGCTGTTTTGCAGACTGATGAACTTCCCGTCCGTATCGATCTCGTCGATGCAGACGGGTCCGGTGGCCGAGGCGGAGTGAGCGATGGACACCGAGCTGCTGGCCTCTTGTTCCTCCACGTCCACGCGCTTCCTCTTCCCCTGAGTGGTGCGAACGCTGCGGCTGCTCGAGGCTCGAGACACGGTGACCCGAGAGGACGGGCTGGGAGACAGCTGCAGTCTGAGGGAGGGAATCAGCAAAGTTCAGATCTATGTCACCGAAGAAAGGTCGTTTAATTATTTCTGCTCGAGTCCTCACCTCTCCTCCTCTCCCTCCAGGAGTTTCCTGTAGGCGTTGATCTCCATGTCGAGGGCCAGTTTGACGTCCAGCAGCTGCTCGTACTCGTTGAGCTGCTGCAGCATCTTGCCACGGATCTCGGCCATCTCCATGTCTTTGTCGGCGAGCATCCTGCGGCTCAAGTCTTTCTCCTGAATGAGCGCCGCCTCCAGCTCTGAAATACGATCACGCCAACCACGAGTCTGACAAGAGAGGGGCGGGGAGGGGGAAGTGTTAGAGATGAAATGATGTGCAACTTACAGAGCAGTCAGATACTTCAGGACAGTCCGAATTCATTCTCTGCTTGTTTGTGTAAAGGAAACCATGGCAACTGAAATCACGCGTCTTGTGTTTCAGTCAGAGGTGATTATACGGTCCTGAAGGGTTTTTCCTTTTGCAGAATTTTGTAAAAAGCAGCATAACGACAATGTTGTAAAAGCAGAAAATATGATGCTAACCAGCAGATAAATCTAGAGAAGTAATAAGGTAACCAGGATCCATTTAGAGCTTTCTGTTTAGGTCAGTGTGACACCTGAGTGTTCATCTAAAACAGTTGAGTGAGAACTGAGATAAACATGGCTGTGGGTTTAAGGTGTAAATAAATGAAGAGTAGTATGAGTGTGTCACCTCCTTCTGCAGTCCTGCCAGCTGTGCGCTCAGACTCTCGATTCTCAGCGCAGACTCTCTCAGCTCCTCTCGGGCCATGTTGGCTGAGGCTCCGTTCATCTCGGACAGACGGTGAAGATCCTCCAGCTGTGGACAAACATCAAAGAAGAGTGAGAGAGAACATCGAGAGTTTCCACCTCTGAACAGAGAGAAAGAGGAACCGAGACGCTCTGTTCACTTCCTGACACTCAGGAAATCACTCAGAAGACGTGTTTGTATTTTGGTTTTTGTAATGTGTGTTACAGAACGTCTCAAGTGTTTGCAAAAAAGGACAGAAGCGTGTGGTGCTGCAGAGTCAACCTGCAGATGATTTAACAAGTTTGTCAACACGCTGCAGATGGAATATGAGTGTTTACATGTTTTCATCTATGACGAAGTCACTTCTGCAGGTGGTTTGACCTCCTGACAACCTTCCTTTTCTACACTGCATGAAACCACAAGTTCACACATGAAGCCTGCAAGAGCTTCTGTGATCAGTAATTATGATTTTTGTAAATTTTACAGCAACACCAACAGAGAGCTCTGTTATTGTTTCTTTTTTGGATCCATCAAAACATCCCACGGTCCAATATGAGATACCATAAAAAAACCTTCACACACTTTTCAACACAGCTGTACTTAAACATTTTATCTCCGTCACATGACTTCATGCAGATTTAAGTATAAAGTGTGTGTTTTTCCGACACCTTGAACCAGCCAATGCAACAGAAGAAGGAAGTGTTCTGCAATAGAAGCAGGGCTGAGACTCTGAAGTGTAATCTGTTCTAAACCCACAGAGCAGGGACGTGATGACGTCTTTTCTTTTTACACTACAGACATTAAGATAGCTGTGTGTGTGGATACCTTGGTGAGGTAGGTGCTCTCCATGTTTTCCTTGTAGATCATGATCTGCTCCTCGTTCTGAGTTCTCATGTCGGTCAGAGCCTGAGACAGTTTGTACTCGTACTCCTCCTTCCGTCCAGAGTCCACCTCCACCAGACGGGTCTCGTACCGGTGCCGGGCCTCCTTCACTTCCTACGACACAAAACATAAAAGGTCCACACACTCAGAGAGGATACTCATGGTTTTTAATCCTGTCCTGATTAACTCATCTTAACTTTATGCTGCAAACAGTAAAGGGAGAACATCCTCTCCTGTACTAAGACTTCAGCTGCTCACCTCCTCGTGCATGCTCTTGCGGAAGTCCTTCTCCTCGGTCATACTCTGGCAGCGGTTCTCCAGGTCGACACGGAGCAGCATCTCATCAGCCAGGTGCTTCTTAGCCTGAGCCAGACCGGTGTCCAGCTGAAGACACATGAAATGGTTAATACAAGTCCAGGTGTCATGGAAATGAACTCATGAGAAAATAAACCGACAAACTTAACATGCAAACACCTTCAACATGTAACACACAGTTATCACAACAAAGATGATGCACAGCATACAAATAAGAGTTTTAAGTTCTGTCTGCATCTCTCGGTGTAACAGGTACAACAAGGTTAAGTGTTTCGTCATGTCGATGCTCCAGCAGCTCTTTACCTCCTGCAGCTGTTCCTGCATATCTGCCAGCGTGGCCTCCAGGTTCCTCTTCTCAGACAGCGCCGTGCTCAACATCGCGTCTTTAGAGTTCAGCTGAGCCTCCAGGTCCTTCAGCCGGGCCTGAGCGCCGGCCGCCTCAGAGTCCTTCTTACTGTAGCTGAAAGAGAAAGAGAGAGAGGGAGAGGGATGAGTGGATTTGTAATAACAGTATGTGATGGTAGCGGAGGACTTCAGTTAGTCCCGTGTTAATACTCGTCTTTGGGAGTGATGTCCTTAAAGGCACCACGCACAAATGAGTAAGGACTGATGCACGGAGTATAAAGTTAGAGGCTGTTTAGTGCAGGATAGAACAAGATAGAATAAGATATTCCCCCTGAATCAAAAAGACATTACAACGTTATTTCAGTGACATCACGATTATTGTCTTGATTCGATATTATCCAATGCATTCGTTTTCCCGTCCAGATGCTTGTTAAAAAACAGCAGGGATAAATTCTTGTACCTGTTTTTTGTTGCCTGCTCCTCCGGGTGATGATACGTCTTTATGTTCATTAAAACCCTTGACGTGTTTGACCACACTCTGAACAAGAACTGACCCCACACACCGGAGGGACAAGACCCGTCTGCTTCTTTCAAACCGGTATGTCATGTTGCAACTTTGTGTTACTCTTCTTTTGTGTTTTTTTTGTTTTCTACTTCTTCTTTGTTAATAGCGGTCAGTCTAACCGGATCAGAATTGATCTAAAATTGTCCACAATGTATTTTGGTTTGCCGAGTGTGGCTAACGTTAGCAGTGTTGCACTGCCACCTTCAGTCCTTGCAGGTTAAAATCCTCATTCCTGTGTTAAATGTGGATACACATCTCTCCGGTGAACATGCCAGTTTAACCTGACATCCTGCATACAACTTTATCTGCATTTTCTAGATCAACATGCTGCCAAACTATTTACAAATGAGATTGTGGCCCTTTCAGAATAGCCACAGTTCAGTAGGAAGTACGTACTATTCAGTATGGAGTTTCAGTAGACTGAATTTTCGTGGTCATTCAGTATGCATTTTTTAGGTCCACCTCAGTATACTGAACATTTCAGTATGGATACTAACTTCCAGGTTTTATGCAGTATGGATCGGATGCATCCTTTCAGGAAATGAATTGTATTTTACCACCCACAATGCTGTGCGAAATTACACGTAAATCGTCACTTCACGTCACTTCTCCAAATCAAACAAACGAGTGTGGATTAATTGAATCAATTTTTAATCTAGAGTTAAAGTCCCGACTGAAATCACTACTTTTAATTAACAACAGACAATATAACAAATGTATACATTATTATAAAACCTTTCTCCCTCTATTTAAATAATGATTTCACTATTTAAATGTGTCTTTATTGGTTTATTTTATATTCCGTATATTACTGTCTTTCACTTGTACTTTCCTTTATGTACTGTATGTTATTTAGTTATTTAATCTGCCTTTGACTTGATTTACATTGTGATATTGTTTTTCTTACCTGACTGTATATGCGCATTACTCCTTTTGAATAAAGCTAAACAAAAAAAAACAAACGGGTGGATGCGGCCGGTTTGAGTAACTTGAATGACGTCACTTCCACACTGAATGAATCAGATGAAGTAGGAACAAATATCTGCCTACTGTGCACTCCTACTGAATAGTAGGTACTAACAGTATACAGCACAGATAGTACGTACTGACTACTGACTACTGACAGATTGAGTAGGTACTTGGCAATTCGGATGCAGCCTCTAAGTCTGATGGAGAATTATTTACGATTAACCATGCAGCCCTACAACAAACTATCAACCAAAGAGGAGAAAACTCTCCAGCATCCGACTGATCGAACGGAAACAGCTGCATTTATTCATGTACAAATAGATGAAGATGTGTCATTGATACACAAAGCAGCATAGAGCCGCTGCTTTGCCTCCAGGTCTGTTTCCTTCAGTCTGCACCATCATGTATAGATGTTCTATACTCTGTTAGCATGACATTTAAGGGTTTGTTACTGAGGGAAGAATTCCTTTTTGTCAGCTTTCAGTAAACAGTATATATAAATAGAGTAGACTGGTGTGTGCCTGAGGGGTCAGAAAGATCAAACTGGTTCCTTGTTCAACCAGTTTAAAGTCAACAGAGTCCTCTGGTGGCCAGAACGGCTCAAGGCAGAAGAAGAGAACAGCTTCTTATTTTTGTCATAAATTAAACTGTGAATCACATTTTATATGATGGGATTTTGCACATTATCTAAGATGTTTCCTGTGATTCCTGTTTCCTGATGTTTTCCCTGATTTTGTGGTTCAAAGTTAATCCAGTTTGTCCCTGAACACTTTGGTTCAAAAACACATCAACAAATACAAACAAGAGCTGCATATTTTCACTTTCAAAAACATGCCGTGCTTCCGTTTCCTGGCTCTGCGTGGGGGTTAACTGAGTCAACAGTGCGACTGTGTCAGTGGGCTTGTGAGTATAAATCAGTCTGTTATTGGAGCTGGGCTGGGACGGCCTCTGAGTTAGGTCGGGCGGAGGAGGAGGACAGCGGCTGAAGTGGACAAACTATGAGAGGAATGTACTGAGGTATGTCTGCTGGCTCCCATTTTACTGAGAAACATTAGATGGGCGGGAAGCTGCTCATCACGAGATCTCAGAGCACAACATGAACGCTCCCAGTTAGACCAGAACAGTGCAGGAACTATTCTGCAGATACTTCAGGAAGTTATTATCATACAGCTCACGTCGAATCCCTGCAGAACACAGAATCCAGCACTTCCTGTTTGTTTTTAAACAGAAGCTTTTACCACAAACACTTAAAGTAAACTTTGTTCAAATAAAGCCCGACGTCTTCAGGAGTTCCTGCTCGTGAAATGAAGAGTCTGAAACAGAAGCAGCTCTTTGACGACACGTTGTCTGCTGGCTTCTAAAGATTTAGTGATCTATGGTTATTCCACATTTATACTAGCAGACTCTGAGTGCAGGTTTCACACCCGACATGAGCACGTGCGCACGCTGCAGCTTCTTAAAACATGACCTGCATTTCGTTTGGGACTCGATGTTTAAGGCTGAAAATCTGCAGCTGTAAAGCTACATTTATCTCAGGATGTCCTGATCAGAACTCTAAAGAACCTTTTCAGGCTGCTTTTTTTCTAAAACTGGGTTTTAACTAAGCTCAGACATCATCACATCTTTGTACATTCACAACACAGCGGGAGCTCACACACACAATCAGACATGCACACGCACACACAGCATTGTCCTCCCCTGCTGGCTCAGCTGAAACCGTCATTACCTCTGTCACTACCTCTGAAAACGGTTCGGGGGCCCACATCGTCCCTACATTAAGCTTACACAACATTGAGATTGAATACGAAACATCACAGGTACGTAGATATAGCGGCTGAAGCGGCGGTCTGAACAGGGTTAAAGACAAGAATCAAGTGGATTAAAGCTTCTCCTAACAACTACCGGTAACCAATCTGTTTTTATATACGAGGACTTGTGTTGTTTTTTTTTAACACCAGGGTGTTTCTACTGTCGACACAACAACTCTATCTTCACCACTCTGCTGTGCGCCGTCCGTGTAAGCCCCGCCCACAGCTAACAAAACACACTATAATGAAACATGGACCGTGGAAAACTGTTTTCCTTGAAGCTTTGCAGAGCTGTGTGCAGTATGAACACCGGGTTTATCTATGAATGTTATGTATTCTCAGCATGCACGGTGCAGTTATTATTACATACTGAGCAGGTGTTATACTTTGACAAATTAATAACTACACAATAAATTACTTTTACACAACGAGCGCATAACGGCAAACTGTCAATGAATCGTCTCAGCTGTGGTTTGATCTGAAGGTATTTAAAAATGCCGCAACAGTGACTGAAGTTATCCACGCACAATCAAGATACGAGGTGTGTGTGTGTGTTTGGGGGGTAAAATGATTATAAAGTGGGGTTAAGGGCTGCTTTAACTGGCCGACAGACCACAGACTCAAACAGGCGTCCTGCCACCTGTGATCTGCTGTCAGAGAGTGCACACACACACACAGTACTTCCTCTGTTCCAACAACACACCACCTGACACACCACGTGTGTGTATTTTTCCTTGAGGATCTGGTAAGTTGATTTAGCAACAACGTTGAAATGCTACATCACTTTTCACCGTTATGAGGCGTTTTACACTCTAGTGAAATCACACTCGGCTTTAAGTGAAGCTTTAAAGTGTTTGAAATTGACACTGCTGCGTGTTTACAAAAAGAGAAGACGCATAATTTGACTCACACTTTGTTTTTAGTTAAGGTAACGTGAATTTGTGGGTGAAGAAGCCATTTAATCAGCTCACATTGTCCATTCATCCACTTCAGGACAACAGCTGTGAGCTGCAGCTGTTAGCTTCTGTCACATATACGTGAACACACACCGCACACACAAACACACACGCACAGACAGACACATGCACACACAGCAGGTTTCAGCGGCTGGGTGGCATGAAAGCCTTTCTTTTCAACACAAACGTCCATGTCTGCAGTGTGTCAGGATGTATGTTAAACGTATCACAGTGGATATTTTAGTCTTCAGTTTGGTTAAGAAACAATAAGTGAGCGGGATCGTGTTTGCGATGCATAATTCTTTCTTTGGCTCAAAATATATACATTAAAATCCTAACATTGTGACAAAACCTAAACCAAATAACTAATAAAAAATAACATAATACTCTAATAATCCACAGCGTTAGAATAACCCCTAAACAGAATATAAACCTACATACATGCAAAAAGATACCAATCTAAGCATGAAGATATAATGCACAAGGAGAAATATGCAAATTTGCAATAATATTCACAATAAAAAACAATCTACAGGATATTACAATAAGACATATAGGGTTTATGTACATATTTAGGAATATGTACCCATGTTAATCCAGACTATGAATATGTAAAAATATGCGTATTAATAAGTGTGACTATGTACAGACATGTGCATCACCACTTGTAATTAAATTATAAAGAAAGAAAGGGTGTATACAGAAGTAAATATTAGATAATTAAGTCCACAGGTCAGACAGGGTTCAGTATTGTTTATTTCTATTATATAAAAACAATTAGCAAATCAACTCTTCAACATGTGTGTATAAAATGTTAAAACACAAAAAAAACCTCAATAAAATACTGTCCTATCCCCCTAAATAAACAGAAAACACGTATTTTTGGCACCTGTGTTCTCGCCTTTTGTTCTGACCGGACTACAACAGCGGACCCTGAAGGCATCATGTCACCTTCAGGGCAGTCAGACACGATAATTCACACTGGGGTTTTTGTTACGTATTCACTTTTCTTCTTCTTATTTATGCTTGTATAGTTAACTTTTATGACTATTATATGACAGCAGGTAAGACTTTAAACGCGGTTTTATTGTGAGTTTCCTCTTTGAGCTGCACACAGACAAAGGTGGGCGGGTAACGGCTGTCAATCACTCAAAATAACGTTTATTATTTTACTATTAGGAAATGAAAAATGGTTGATTTAGAGATTTAGAGCGCTAAAGGATTATATTGTTAATTTAAAAGTACTTTATTGATAGGCAGAGTTTGAGTGACGCTCTCAGCAGGGTAGAAACGTAACGTGACGTAAAGCTTCACAAGCGGCTCGAAACTCAAAGTGTAGCTTTGAGTTTCATGTGTGATTAACTTTAGAGGCTTACTTCTGCAGGAGCTGCTCATGGTCAGCTCTGAACTTGCCCAGCTCGATCTGCAGCCAGGCCCGCTCCTTAGAGGACTCATCCAGGCTCCTCCTGGCGTCAGCGAGCTCGGTCTCATACAGAGCCTTCAGACCGGACACCTCCCGGCTCCTCACGTCCTCCTTCTCGCTGATCTGCAGGTGGAGCACGTCGTTTTCGGACTCCAAGCTGCGGACTTTATCGATGTAGACGGCCAGACGGTCGTTGAGGTCCCGCAGGTCGTGTTTCTCCTGGAGTCTGGTGATCCTCGTCGGGCTCAGCGGTGTGCCGCCGCCACACGTGCTCCTCTGACCGGTCGGCGTCGCGGTCGCCATTGCAGCAAAAGTCGCTCAAAACTCGGTAACAAAATACCGGAGACGAACCCGAACTCAGGTATCACCTCTGCGGGTGTAACGATTCAGATTTTACAGCCCACACTTCCGTAAACTCCTCTGGAAGTGTCTCCTGTCCTTTCTTCGCGGAATGAAAGAGGGGTTTGGCTTCCCAATCCCAATATGGCGGCTCATTGAAACATTTACGTTAGACTCAACTGACCAATGGAGCAGCTCGACGCAATGCGTTCTTTGAACTTTGACTTATAGGTTCAATCGATAATGTAACCGGCGTACGCCATAAATCTCCCGGGCGGGCGGAGTTAATTTTCGACATTCTAGTTTTTGCATCTAGCTCCGCGTGTTCAACCTGGGATGTTGCGGTGTTCACAACAAGCGCTTCTTAGAGAAATAACGCCTCAGCTTGAATTTATTTGATTAAATCATATCTCCCGGTTAAACAGCGGAGGAAACAAAAGACACCAATGAAAACCATAACTTTAAGTCGACGTTTAAGGATTATACATACTTAATTTGTTTATTATTTTAGGTACATGCTATTTCCACACAGCCAAATTTAGTCCCTTCAACCTTTTATTCATAGTTTTTCGGCGGATTTCAGCTCCTCCCGCCTGGACGTCGGTACACAGTACCATCCATAGACTGCAAATAATAACGTTTAATACAGTGTATGCTTTAAGTACCATTTATAGACTGTTAAAAAAAAAATTTGATTCAAAAGTATTTGATTCATATTCCTATTATATTTATTACATAGGGCCATATTATGCTTAGCCCATATACTTTTTTACTTGGCCTACCTATTCTAGGCTACTTATGTTTTCTATTAACTAATGAGTTAAAGTTCAATGGGGGGAAAGCCACTTCCTTTAGGTACAGCAGACTGAGTCCACACACCAGAAGCTTTTCTGAGTCTTATTTAATCAAATATATCACCACATGTAACATCTCGGGGCCCTGGCCCTTCATCAGACATAGTATACTTTATTTTGGGCTGTTACACATAAATGATCCTTAAAGTGAAGCTGCTTATTTGTCCCTGCGATCATGGTGTCCCACAAGCCAGCCGAGCCGAGACAAATATGACTTATCGGCCAACAAAAAGAGGCTAAATTAAGCTTTTTGTTTGTTTGGGAGTCCTCCAGCTAAGTCCTGTACGGTCTGGAGCTGATGAATTGAGTCCTGGCGAGTATGAAGGAGTACAAACATGTCTATGTCTCTGTGCAAAATAAGTTAAACTCTTGTTAAAACTATGCCTAAGGCATTAGAAACATGATTGCACCAGTTTTGATGAATCAGATGTTATGATGTGAAAAGGAACCAGCAGGGTGGTGGCTCAGTCCCATATATGGAGGCTATAGTCCTCAACGCGGGCGGCCCGGGTTCAAATCCAACTTGTGGCTCCTTTCCCGCATGTCAATCGCCACTCTCTCTCTATCTGATTTCCATCTCTAGCCACTGTCCTATCTCTCCAATAAAGGCACAAAAAGCCCAAAAATAAATCTAAAAAAAAAAACCAGCAGGAACCAGCAGGGGGCAGGATTTGTTTTGCAATGAGCTGGGACCAAACTTTACATCTTTACATGTGTAAAAGGATTTTTAACAATTCATGATTCTGCATTTTAAGACGTGAAGGTTGTTTATTCTTTCATTCACACATCAGAAGACGAGGAGACTTTTTCTTGTTGACACATTTTGAATTGTTGTCTTAAATCGTCTGAAAAGCAGCCTGACACTCTTCAACATGTCGATATAGACTATATGAAACCACAGAAAAGATCATTTAACATGAGTAGACCCTTCAGAGATATCATCCCTCTTCAGAGAATAAATGTACATACCAAACGTCAGCAGGCTGCAGATCCATCATCTCTCTGTGATCAACAAACTTTAAACGGTCCTCTCAGCGACTCGCAGCTCAGTGAGAGTCGGGAGTGAGCAGGGACTTAATCTCATCAGGGACACAAAGGGGTCGTCATTTCTCTGAAAGAAGCCACACTGATTGATTTAAAATGTTTCTCTCAACCAGTTGATCGATGGCTGTTATCAGAGCTGGGATCATTCTCCTCTCACCAAAAGAACTTTTGTTTGAATTTGATTGATTTTAGAGTTCAGCAGCTCAAAACACATCTTAGAAAGGTGAAATCATTCGTTATGTGAAAGTCTTTTTGAGCTCATTGAAATATTTCACTTCTGTAAACGGTGACTGAAAGATTCAAGGTGACCCCATGACCTATCGTATCGATCTGAAGGCCGGCCCTCATTGGGTCGACGAAGAATGCAGAACAAAACACATCTTAAAAATGTCAAATCAGGCCTAGCGGTTATGTTCCAATGTACAGAGGCTGAAGTCCTCTTCGCAGGGGCCTTGGGTTCAAATCCGACCTCTGCCCTTTGCTGAACGTCACCCCATCTCTCTCCTCTCATCACTTCCAGTCTCGATTAAGATTAAACCTCATCTAATGGTGACCTGTATCAATCTTCAGGCTGACCCTCATTGGGTCAACGGAGAACGCCGCCCAGTATTTGTTTATGTACATTCAGGACAGTCAGTTGTCGCGTCCCTCCTTACCTGATGACTCTCCTGTCTATAGACTTTTCAAGCCTTAGAGAAGGAAATGAAACGGTTTGAAAAAGTGAACTCATTGAAATGGACTTGGTTTGCAAGTATGAACATTTATTACAAGTCTATGTTTTTACTTTTCACTGTGTTTATAGTTCTTCTGTTATTTGTATTTGCAGGGCACCTTTTGGAAAATAGACCTCGGTCTCAGTGGGTCGTCCCTGCTAAAATAAAGGATACATAAAAAATTAAATGGTGTAGTCGTTTAGTTTGGTTTCATATCATGTCGCATCGTATCATATCATGTTAAGACTCCCTTAAAAATACCAGAGAGACTGAAGCACTGATTTGGGATTAATTTATTCGCTGTAACACAACCTGGATGGTGTTTTTGTTTTTCTAAATATCCAGCTCTCGAAGCAGACACACACAGAACAGCAGCTCGCTCACACAGCTCAACCATGGCCCTGCTAATGTATAAACATGAAGCTCTTCTTTAGATTTTCAAACAGTTCCTGGTCTTTTTCTACAAAGTGTGGGAAGAACAGGATGTGGAGGATATCAGTGTTTCCATAACAACAGATGCACAACAATCCTGCAGATGATCACAGTAAACCAGATTTAACGCTGATTCCAGGAGAAAACTTTGTAGGTCAAGAAAACATCCGCCCGCAAAGAACCTTACTGCAGACCTGGCTATGCGGTTACTGCAGTGCATCATGGATAAAAAAAAGAAGAAGCTAATTAAAGATGCAGCCCGTGCTAACATCAGGGCATATATGCTCAACAGCATTCATGTCAAAGGGGCTCGAAGCAGAATGTAGAATTATTCATGTGCATGCAGGTTTTGATTTCATCTCTAATGCAGGAAAGAAGCGTGAATGTGGAGGTGGTTTTTAATTTGCACCCTTTCACATCTTAAAGGTCACATATTCTCCTTATCTTCAACTAGTTTAAATAAGTCTCAGAGCTCCTCAAAACATGTGTGTGAAGTTTCTTGTTCTAAATCCACTCTGATCCTGTATTTGATCATGTCTATAAACCCCTCTATTTCAGCCCTGCTCAGAACAGGCTGTTTCTGTGTCTGTACCTTTAAATATGTAAATGAGCTGTGTCTGACCCCGCCCCCTCCCTGGAAGGGCTTGGGTGTACTCGGGCTTTCTCTCCCCATGTCCTATTGTTTACGGTGAGAAGGCAGACTCAGAGGGCAGAACAAACATCTAGCTGTGGGAGTGTCACCCACCCTGGGGGAGGGGTTACTGCTCTTTGTGATGTCATGAAGGGAAAATCTCCAAACTTCTGAAGCTGCATCTGAACTCTGCTGAGCTGGAATGGAGGGGAACAGGAGGGTCGCAGCGATCGCACTGAAAAGACTGACTGACTGCGGAGGAGAGAGAACAGATTTTAAAATCTGACCGCAGCAGGATGATTGGTGGAGAGAGGGTGTGGCAGAATCTGGTTGGGTTATTACTTAAAGAATAAACGCCCAGAATAAGCTGATCACCAGAACAGGGGGACGGAGGGAGTGGAAGAGAGGGAGGGGCTAAGCTTCCTGCTTGAACTTACGCTGAGCTCCATATCAATCATGAAGGAAATCCCGTAGTAAGAGCCCGAGCGTGCACGACGCACCGTGAAACTGAAGGAGTTACTTTAACTATTGTTATTTGCTGTTGCAGAGAATGAGTTTATATTTCCAGTTTTACCTGAACGCAACATGACTGATCTGATATTTATGCACTGAATGAGGGTGGACCCGTTCTGAACCATCAGTAATTCAGGGCTCGTGTTTGTGTTTTGGGGGCGGGGGGGGGTGCGGTGGCTTTGGCAGTTTTTCGGCTGAATACAAAACCTGACTACCTCACTTATTCCCTCCTCATGTTCATGTTTCTAATTTATATCCTAACTGAGACACTGAGACTGTGGCTCAGTTTTTAGAATGTGTGAATAAACCTTTCTTTACCTCCCAATGGGTCATGATCTCGATCTCTCTGGTTTGTTGGTCGCTGTATTTCATGTGGCAGGATTTAGTTTTTACAAATGTTCGGGCAGTCTAGTTTATTTTTCTGTTATAATGAAAATAACTTTATTTGTAATAAAAACAAAATAAATGTCCACACACGCTCAGCTCTTAAAACGATATTTGTCCACATGAAAACGCAAAACGCACCGTTACAGCTGTCATGAGCACGTCAAGTCAAAACGATGTTCTTGACGCGCTTAAGTTTTCTTCATCTGCAATGACCGTTTCATTCACAAAGTTGTCCCACCAACTCGAAGTCCAACTGGGTCTCTTTCAAAACCGTTAGAGGCGGGGGTTTTTTGTTGTTGTATGAAGCAGCAGTGACTTCCGTCGTCCATTCAGGCATCCAGTCCAGTTAGCAACGTTAGCACCAGCGCTAGTTTGGTTACGTCTGCCATTGCACTAATCTCATGTAAACTAAAGAGACAGCGTCACACGATAACGTCACACGGAGGAGAAACCGGCGCACAGTGTGACGTTACAAGAACTAAACTCAGAAACACCTTAAAAAGAGTTTCTGAACATCTTCACCCACGTTCAGGTTCAGGTGCGTTCACTGTGACCTAAAACGCCTTTTGCGTACGAAAGGTCAAAAGCTCAGAAAAAGCTCAGTTTTCAAAAATACCCGCCTACATGAGGACGAGGCCTCTTGTGTTAAATCGCTCTCTAAGCGTGAAGTTTTGGCAGCTTTTCACTTCACAGAGTGCTCAGAGACACACTGAAGGCTGTGACAAAAAGAAAATGGCTACCCTGTTCAGCCATAGGCCCAAAGGTCGTCGGTCTCCGTTTGAGTGTGAGCGGCAGGAAACTCAGCAAATGTGCAAAGAGAAGGTTTGATCCTCACATCAGTAAGAAGTGTGTTCAGCTCCACCAGAGGTTTTCAGGTGAATGTGTCCGTCATCATTCTTTCAAAGCGTTTGAATCATTCTAAGAGTGATGGACCCTCGGGCTGGGTATCAAACCTCCTTACGATCCTGAATACATCGTAAACATGTCGCTCGCTCTGAACACAGAAACGCGCTGAAGAGGTGCGTCTTATTTTAACTAATAATAAGACTGCAGACACTTACCATAGACAGTATGCACACGACCACGGGGATCTCTGTGCACGTTATGAAACTGCGTCATCATCAGAGCTGTCGGCATTAACGAGTTCATGATTAACACTAGAAAGACCAAGGCAGTCATTTTGACTGTTTTTTTAATTTTGCAATGTAATAACTTACTTAAAATAAAACCTATGTAACTACAGGACCATGCCTTTTCCTAAATGTGTCTATATTTTATTCTAGCATTGTTATTTTATCAAAAACACAAAAGAGTTTTGAGTATTTCTACCTTGAAAGTCCATAGCGGTCATATTGACTGCATGCATTATAGCCAGTGTATCATTTCGGTATTCCCTACTTTTTCCCACTCTTGAAGGTAGAGGTGGGCGATATGGGAAAAATATCATATCACGATTTTTTTTTGGCAAAATCACGATCACGATTTTTTTCATACTGTTCTTTAGACAAATTTGTAAGTTGCTGACCTGTTCAACCAAACTTATTTCCCTGTACAATGTTTTTAAATGCACAAAAACTGTGCTGACAAGTTTAATCTATTTGAAAAACATCTTTGTAGGAGGTCTGGAGGTCTCTCACCCAGAACATCTTTAGCAACAGAAATGTATTTCCCTCAATTTGATCAATATTTATGCACAATTTGAAGGTTTTCCTCACCACTTTGAAATGATGATTTAGTTATGTGTCCTCTTTTTATGTTCATCAGGAACATTTTCACGCAGTGATGCATTCATTTAAAAACGTGTAGACTTCAAGTTCTTGTGTTTCTGTTCTATTTTAGCCCTGCAGAGCTCCTCCAGCTGTAGCTTCATACAGGCTCTGCAGCCTTTGTTGTTTTTTATGACATCACTGGACTAACTTTAGTTTAGTTTGTATAAAATCAAACATAATACAGGATGTGTTCATTCTGTGACACATGATCAAAGTAAGTTTTACTGACAGAAGAGTTTAATTCATAGAGGGGGCGAGACATTGTTGATTGACAGACAGACAGTCACCATGGTTACTCACTCTCACCTGCCTGCTGCTTTGTAACATCGTTTAGTGTAATCCCTGTAGGTTCAGTTATCACAACAGGTGAGTTTCAGGTGGAGAGGCTTGATAAGTAACTTTTAAAAACTGAGAGAGAGCAGAAAACACCGACAGCAACATTTTAAACACCGGGGTTTTATCTCCACTGACTGTCTGAGCTCCGCTCTGTCTGTCTTTGACTGTTAACGTCTCTCCGTGTCGCTATCCGAGATGTAGACTAATCTTAACTGTGCACACTATGCAGATAAGTCAACTGTTGCTCACAGCGTGTTGGTTTGGAAAAATATCAGAACAGTTGCATATAACCGAGATGAAGTTGTTTTTGCGAACTTTACTTTGAAGTTTCGTTTTCACCGCGGCGGAGCAGAAGGGGGGGAGACGTGTCTGTGTCAGAGCATAAACTGCAGAATGGTAAAATAAACACATTAGCCCGGTTCTACGATCTCTCTGCTTTGGCAGATCGTCAGCAAGTTAAAATCCTTCACGATCTAAGATCGTTATATCGCCCACCCCTACTTGAAGGTGCGCATCGCTGTTGCCTAGCAACTATTGTTTATAACGCTCGAGCCAAAGAGGAAAGAAAGCTTACCCGCCTAAAACCATATAGAAAGAATAGGAGACATACATTTGAATTAATCAACATTGAAAAGGCAGAATAGAGTAAATTAGGATCTGATTTAGAACAGAATAGAAATGTCAGGAAGGAGGAGGATTGCTGCCACAGAGGCTCCAGAGCCTTGATGAGGCAGAGTCTGATGGAGGCACAGGTTCGGATACGGAAAGTGATGTCTCCTGGTCTCTCTTCATCTGATACTGTCTCTGAGATTGAACCTGAGAATGATACAGAGCTCATTCCCATTCGCAAAAAACGCCGGCTGCTGTTTCCTAGTTGTCGATAAACTATTCAAATTTCAAATTCATTAGAATTTAATGTTTGTGTCCTGAAGTTTATTATACCTTTCACAACATTACAGATCCATTTATTCTTATATTTGATATTGATTATTGAAATGATATGCAAAAAATTTGTAAACAGTCAAAATGACCGCTATGGCCTTTCTAGTAGTGATGGAATGCCGGTAGTTCTAGTGTTAAGTAAAGTCTGAAAGGAATTCATAACTTGATGTTAATTTGTCCCTTCAGGCTCACCGTAGATAGTCGTCCTCAGTGTCTCCCTGTAGTCTCAGTGATTTAAAAGAAGGACACTGCTGCATCTTTGAATGTCATATTTCACTTTAACAAACTCTCAGACAGCTCAGCTGACGAGTCCAAAGTAATATCCACCTTATGACATCACACACTGTTTGACCTCAGTTCGGGATCCCTGACCACTTCCTGTTTCTGTGCTTAACTTCATGTCATAACCTTCCATCTACAGGAAGGGCCTTACTTTATTTCAAAATAAAAGCACACAGGACGTAAAGTACTCTCAGCTTAAAACAGAACAAAAATTCAAAATAAAAACCTAACAGTTTTTATTTTTAAAATGCAAAATTATAAAAATGTCAAAGATGAGATTGAAAATCTGATTAATCGCAATTAAAAAATGTTTAATCATTTGAGAGAATTAATTTAGTTTCCTTTTCACCCGTTCTTGTTCTTCCTATCTTCTTTGTTGATATGAATGTTGAACTACTTATAAGATTCATATGAAGGCAAAAATTCTCATCTTAGCGTCGGACTCTGTTGCCTCTCTTATTTTTAGGTCATGTCTCGCCTCCTGAGACCCCTCCCCCCCTCGTCCGAGAGGAACAGTCGTGCGCTGTGAGGTGCATGTGTGAACAAGCAATTCGGGCAGATTTCAGGGGCAGCCTGCCTGAACTTTTCTAGATATTTTCAGGAGTGCATGTGTGAAAACGGCTAGAATCAGATTTTAGGTGATGAGAGGAGACAGAACGCTAGAGTCACTCAAGACATCATAAAACGCAAGAAGCAGTTTCCTCTTTGTTTTCTTAACCCTTTACCTTCATTTATCTCCTATTCTTGTATATATATATATATATATATATATATATATATATATATGTTAATGTTTGTTAATACTGATTCTATGTAGGTTTCACAGTTTTGCTGCAAAGAAAACGTCCCCTTAGGGTTGATAAAGTTGAAAGTTGAAAGTTTATAGGAAGGAAGGAGGAGGTGACCAACAGTAATCTGAGCAGATGTTCTTACTTTAAAGATGGCTGCCTTAACTTGGATTCCTGCTAACAAGAAGACGACGACACACTCGTAGAAATAAGCTACAGATTCATCATGGGAGACTGGAGATAACACTTTACTCTGGATGGCAGTGACGTCTACTGTTACCGACTCGCTGCATCTCCTTGTTAAAGTCTGGTTCTCTTTCATTTCAAATAATCTGCTGTGCTCCTGAATGCTGCGTTCTCCCCTAAAGATATCGAGCGCCATCTGTGACACCTGTAATATCACAACGTTTACGAGCAGGTGGGGAACTTCCTTCACTCAGGCTTCACTCCTCTACAGTTTGTACTTTGTAGAAAAAAATGTGTTGCTGACATTTCCAGCTGATGTAGTTGGCCTGAACACACCGCAAACCAACCATCCAATCAGCAGATAGTACAGGTAAAAGGTATTTTTTCTCTGCATGTGCGCGTCATTGAACAGGTCGTGTTAGTATCAAGATGGCAGCGTACGCTTAATCACAGTCATGGAGGCCAGAGAGAAGTCCTCTTGGTGCATGTGGATTAGATTTAGAGTCTCACTTTAAGCTTTTTTTAAAATCTGCTCAGTTAGTGAGAATAAAACACCATGAAGGCAGCGTGACATGAAGCCGCACACAGACCGGCGTTCTGCCTCCTGCTGCTTCCTTTATAACACACTGCTCGTATTAAAGTGTGTGTTGATGAATAAGTCGGCAGTGTTCTTGGATGAGTGTGGGTTTTATCTGCATCACTCTAAGCCAGGGTGTAGTCAAACTGGCCCTTCTCCAGCCCGTCCAGGCCGTCAGCCCAGGTGGAGGTGGGCATGCTCCTGTACGGGTCCAGCAGGATACGGAAACACCGCACGATGAGGATGAGGAGGAACACAAAGAGGAAGAAGACCAAGGCGAAAGTTGTCTTCTGCTCCAGGGACATGGCAGCGATGGCCGAATCCGACGAGGAGGAGGAGGCGGACGAAGAGGAGGAGGAGGAGGAGAGGGCGACGAAGTGTCCCCCGGCAGAGTACAGCAGAGAGGAGAGGGCAGAGGTGAAGGGCTCTCCCTCCATCATCCAGGAAGAGCAGAGAGAGGAGGGGGCAGGACAGCAGCTCTGCAGCTCCCACAGGGGGCGCTGTGGCATCGTCTTCACATCGGCCCGGCCCCTTCAGATGGACCTCATTGTCTGCAGGGACAGAAGACAGAGGACAGGTCTTAACAGACAGAATCACAGGTAAAAGTCCTGTAAAGCAGCATCTCAACTCAGAGCGTCCTCCAAAGGACCCAGCCTGCAGGGACCACTCAGGCCAGTCTGGATCTGGTCTACACAGGATTTCCTGTTTGCAGCACCAGCTGTTCTCTTATTCATTCTTTACCTCAAAGAAAACCTGTTCTAGCTTGCATTAGATAAGCTGAAACAGAATCCTTATAGCTAACATTACCTGCTAACATGAAGAAATCTGCAAACTTCTGCTCGCCCTCCTGCTCAGACGGACCGTTTATAAATGACAATAACGTGAAGTAATCTGTTTGTACTACTCATATCTGAGAGCTTTCTTTAATAAATGAACTCTTTGATTTTTAAACTGTAGCCTCAGGGCTCAGAGTGTTTCTCTCTCATCACACAAACGCTTTACCCACTGATCCTCAGCCAGCGTTTTATCAGAGAGGAAACTCGACATGTAGTCCATTTCAATAAGACGGGGAGTTGTGCAATCGTGCAGTTCCTCGAGTGTCCACTAGAGGCTGGCTGCAGAAGCACAGGAAGTCACATACACAGCCATTCTAAAAAGCCTGAAAAAAAAAAACTCTCTGTGTGTGTTTTTATGAGAGCAATCCTTCGAGCTCTGCATATGAAAGTGAGTGAGAAGAATCTGACACACAAGCTTCGTCTGTCAGTTTGGAGGTATTCAGATTGAGCAATGAGAGCCTGACAGGTTGAAGCACTGAAATGTAAACAGGACGCACGCAGAGACTCGTCTTCAGACTGCATCACAGATCTGAAGACGTGCTGCAGAAAACAAAGCAGCCGCCTCTTCTGTGAGACGAAAAGGATCACAACACGAGCAACAGTAGGAGAGAGAGAGTGAAGCATGAAGAGTTCGGGAAGTGAGTTTGAAGCCAGTTTATTTTTAGAGGTAGCATTAGCTTGCCCCAGGATTCTACACAGTTTCTTGTCGTTCTCCGAGATCTTACAACATTCGAGAAAACCCACAAATCCAAAACAAATAGGGAACAGTTGTCAGAATTCAGTCGTTTCCCGGTCTTCTTGTGTTTGTGAGGCTTGAATCAGAAAACGTCTTTTTCACACGCTTCAGAGCAGGACAGTACAAGTTTAAAATTGGCATCATTGAAACACACACTTCAGCACTTTCCCCACCTAGAATAATATTTCACTCTCCTTCATCCAGCTAAATGTCTCATCTCTTCCTCGCCTGACCCTCCCGCTCGCTGCAGCTGCTTTTTAATTCAGAGGTTGTTTTCCCTGAAGGACGCCATCTTCATCTCACCTGAAGGCCGGAACAAACGAGCTCCAGTCGGAATAAAAATGAGCTTCAGAGTTGTTACTTTTTTGAACTCCAGTGAAATGTCAAATGAATATATATATATATATGTTTGTCTCAGCAGAAAGTTTAATTGAAGCAGAGGGGACAGAGTTCAGCATCAGTGGTTTAAGACATGAAGACTCTCTGAGGCGAGCCTCCAGTGAGAATCACAACAACAAGATTTATTCATGCACGGCACGCAGATGTCAGACAACTATTTTCTAGACGGGAAACAAACAAAAATCCAGACGGGTCGAGATCTGTCAAACAGGTCATGTTCAGACTCAGAGGGTCGGGACATGAATATCAATATGTTCCTGCTTGAGGTCCAGGTTGTGCCTGAGACTCTCTTAGCCTCCAGACTAAACGCCTCTTTGTTAGTCCTCCATGATTCTTCTGGAAAGAAAATAGAAAACCATCCAGCCATTGTTGTGGGGGGCTGGAACCAATCCCAGCTGTCATTGGTTGAGAGGCATTACATCCTGGACTGTTCACCTGTCAATCACAGGGCTGACCAATAGAGACAGACAACCAGCCACACTCACATTCACACCTACGGCCAATTTAGAGTCAGTTAACCTAACGAGCATGTGTTTGGACTGTCAAGGTTCCTCAAAATAGTTTCCAGAATCACCCGACGTGAGAAGAATGCAGGAGGACAATGACTTTAAATCTATAATATGACATTTTTACATTTCCTTGTACTCCTCAAACCTGCATTCTTTCTAATGTCCACCAGGGGGCGACTCGACTAGTTGCAAAAATAAGTCTGATTGTATGAATGTTTGTTATAAAATGGTCTAATTCTCAGTTGACTTACCCTCTTGACAATGATGATTTCCGAAAACGGTGCCCTTGTGCCGTGCTTTGGTTGTTTGTATTAAAATGAAATAAATATATTTGATTTTTCATTGGTCAAGAAGGTTTCTGTCATCCATCATCTGGATTTAAAGGTCACATGTTATAGCTTACGTAATCCTCTTCACCATGTTTCTCTAACTCCAATATGTGTCCCTAGTCTGTCTACAAACCCCCCAATCATGAGAAAAGTCCATCCTCTTCGTCTTCTGCCTGCTCCACTTCTCTGTCTGGGTGACACTCCCACAGCTAGGTGTTTGTTCTGCCCTCTGAGTCTGTCTTCTCACTGTAAACAATAGGACATGGAGCGAGAAAGTCTGAGACACCCAAGCCCTTCCAGAGAGGGGGCATGGTCAGACACAGCTCATTTACATATTTAAAGGTACAGACACAGAAACAGCCTGTTCTGAGCAGGGCTGAAATAGAGGGTTTATAGACATGATCAAATACAGGATCAGAGTGAATTTAGAACAAGAAACTTCACACACATGTTTTGAGGAGTGCTGAGACTTATTTAAACTGGTTGAAGACGAGGAGAGCCTTTAAATTATCAGAGAAACAAGCAGATGCTCCTGACATCCTGTTTTTAACACCAAACTCTTATTCTGAGTTTATTTCCCCCACTGGTTGTCATCATCTTCACACGTTTTTAAAAAGCATAAAAAATATTTATATGTATGTATTCCTAATATAGGAAAATTGAGTGCTTGCTGATAAACTTTAGCTAATGAACCATCTGGTCTCCGCCTTCTGTCATTAACAGGACCTGCTCAAACTAGCAGCATTATCAATTTAAATATGTTAAATATTTATAGAAACAGTTTTTAAACTACTTCATACTACCAGCACATATTCATTATTCTGAATATAACTGATAACGCTCTCAGAACCTCCTATTTACTCAGGGTTTATTTCAGTCTGTCTTACCAGCTCGTGACTTTAAATAAGGTGCACACTTTCAACATGCTGTCCTCCTGATGCAGGATTTTTAAACACATTTTTGAGCATATAAAAATGAATAACAACTCTACCGTCCTGCAGAGACGATACAGAACTACATAAGAGCTGCTTCAAAAGATGTTCTTAATATTTTGTTGAAAGATAAATGATGCCAGAGCTCTGTTCAGTGCTGCACAATAAAACGCAAAATCACGGCGGAGACATCAGGGCACAACGGGAGACAAAGTTGGCTGCAGGAATCAATCAGAGCAGCAAGGACGCTGCAACCTTTTTTTTTTTTATCTCCAACATCCTCATTCATCTTCACCCACACATGACGGGACAGAAAGACGACAGGTGTGCAGAGGCTGGCTCGTTGTTAAAGTCTCTAACCCAAATCACTCAACAAGTGCAGAGCCTTCATCACCATCATCATCTTCATCATCACTAACACATCCGCAGAGGAGCACCTGACTGCACACACACACACACACACACACGCGCATGCATGCAACACATGCGTACCTGCACAAACACAGAACACACACTCACACACACTCACACACACTCACACACACTCATGCATCTGCAGCTCCGTGAGGGAACACATCATGAGGATACCTTTGTGTGTGCGCGGGGGAGTCGGATGATCCATGTCCAGAGTCAGAGTGGGGACCGGGGGGTTCGGCCCATTCTACCTCCAGTCCGCCCCACAGCCCGCTCAGGATGCGACATGAAGCCCCGCTGAGTAAGAAGAGGAGGGAGCGGAGGAAGAGGAGGACGATCCGTGTGGTACCCGACAGCGTGCCATCCCAGACTGAGGCTCTGCAGCCTGTGTGCCGATCAGCTGCTTCCTGCCTCCGTGGGGAGGAAGGGGCGGACCAGGTTCAGGATCTGTTCAGTCCAAAACACAGCAGATCTGCCTCATCAGACCCCGTCCTCACACACACACACACACAGTGATGCAGCAGCAAGACAGACTATAAAGAAACAATTGGAGATTAAAAAAATGACCCAAATATTGAAGCAGCATTAATTCAAACACAATTTCTGCCCAAAATTGTTTCTTATACTTCATATAAACTTTCCTTTCTTGCTTGTAGCCTTTTTTGTTGGCTATAATGACATTACAGGTGAGCACGTTTCAGGGTAGCTGCTGACATGAAACCAAGGCCGGAGCCCTGAGGGCGCACTCACAAGGCCTATAAGCACCCTTCACCCTCAAAGTCCAGTTCATTTGACTAGTGTGAGTGCTCCACACTAGTATAACCCTTGACCCTGGCATGGTTGGAAGAGGTATGCTGCACGGTACAGTTACTCATGCACGAGCAGAAGCACGGGTACTCAACGTGGAACTGAAGTATAATCGATTCCCGCCTCCATTATCGAGAAATCCCGGCGTGTTAAGCCTGTGAAATGACTCAAAATAAGTCATAAAGTCAGTAACGTACCGGTCATGTTATGTGATGCGCTGAAAAACTGCAGAATCTCTAGTGGCCACTTGGGGCTGTACCAAAAGTGAGTCCATCCCCATAGAGACCCATGTTAAAGTGTCCAACTTTAAGAGCAGAAATAAACATGTTTATAGCCTGGTACAAAGAACAGTACAAAGTTTCATGGTCCTGATGTTCATTCAGAGTCTATGAATGGGACACTAAATGGAATAGAGAGGTCAACATTTATGCACTAATGTTCGAAAATAAAAAAGAAACGCAGGGGGGGGGCGCTGGTGGCGCAGTGGTTAGTGGCTCGTCATTCCCCCACTCTCTCTCTCTCCCTGATTTCTGACTCTATCAACTGTCCTATCTCTCCATTAAAGGCACAAAAAGCCCAAAAATGAATCTTCAAAAAAAAAAAAAAAAAAAAGAACCTCAGGAAAGGTTCCCTCTCGGTCGCCCCCTGTGGTCGATAAAACATGATGAAGTGTCCTCCAGGGTGCAACCTTTTTCTGCGTATTGAGCTGGTGCCCTTTTTATTACTTTCACCCCTGCCCTTCGAACATCCTGAGTCCACCATGTGGTGAACACCGACTCCTCTATCTAAAACTCGTCCTCACTGTTCCTTCCATACCGAGTCTGAACACGATGTTCTGAAGTGTGAGAGGACGAGGAGCATGCTGCAGAATGAGAACAGAATCGACCTGCAGCGTACAAACGGGTTATACAGTCCCCACAAAGGCCTTCACATCGACTTTTTGATGCATCACACACCCAGCCACAGTGTGTGTGTGTGTGTTTTCTGCAGTCACAGAGGGGAACAACACATACGCAGAGGTGACAGTAATGACCCAAATACAAGGAAACTGGGATATCGACCTGAGCGATGTGTAACCACATTTAACACGAACACGTGGACGTTAAGGCGTTTGGGCTACAAACTAGACGGTTTTCAAATCTTAACCAATTTTCTTAAAAACGTGTGAGCGGGTCGGAGGCAGTCTGATCTGGAATCATAAATATCAAACATGTTCTATATTTAGGATTCCAGATCGAGGAGGCTCTGACCCGATCGGGAGCCTTACAATAATCGTATTGACTCCACACACTTGAGGATTATTTGGGCAATTAATCAGTTGCGACAAACCTCAAATCAGCCCCAAATCTTCGAGTGGGTATCCGGCCTAACCTCCAGGAAGGATGAAAGGCTGGCGGTGCTAGCATTGCTAACTTTAGCCACTCCCAGCAAAACAAATGACATCGTTTACCTGCAGACAGTTTACCTGCAAGACAGACTGTGCTCAATGTTTTCTGTTTTAGTGGAGCAGTGCTCCACACAGTGGAGCAGTGCTATTAGACAGATTTGACCAGGTGATGATTACAGGAAAACGAGTGAGCATGCAGGAGGAGTGCATGATGTGACACAGTAGGAGACTGAGCACTAAAACAGCGAGCAGGATGGAAATCAGTCAGCGAGGAACACCCCTAGATTTGACTTGTAAAACTCCAGCAGGTGCAGATGTCATTTTAATGACGAGCTCAGATCAGACTGTTTGCACATGGATCATCTCTTCTGCTGCTGCTGCTGCTGTTGTTGTTGTTGTTGAGTTCAAAGATGTCAGCGATCAAAGAGTCAGGTGTTAGTTCAGCTTTAAGAAAAGAAACAACATGCCCACGCTGCAGAGTTCAGCTGTCAGCCTCAGGCCTTAACGAAGCTCTGCATCAAGATATTTAACTCTGCAGAAAATGTCCGGGGATTCTTCTGGAGGATTATTAAAAGTAAGAGACATGGGAAGTGAATAATCTGTGGATTAGAGGGTGGACACAGGAGGAATATTAATTCAAAAGAGAAACTGTTTTCAGCTGAGAGGAAGACGAGGCTCAGGAACAGACCAGGGAGACGTTGTGATGTAACGATGTTTCATACAGTTTTCTTCTCCTGATATAACCTTTTCATACCACCTCGAGGGGAGTGCTGTTGATTACATCCTGCTGCATTCTCACATTAGCCCACTCTGACTTTCTGTAGAATAAATACGAGGAGGCTGTAGGAGAAACTCTGGGTGTTTGAGTTCACACATGCAGCTCAGCCCAACAACTTCAGGAGTTTTTCCTGAAATATGAAAGCCCTAAAAGTCTCTGCAGGATCAGTGATGATCCTCTGGGGAGCATGAATGAGTCACTAACTTTAGTAACAAACAGGCTGTTGGCTGTTCAGACTCCTTCACTTTTCTCTGATTTTGATAAAAAGCACAGAGCCGAATAATTAATGCTCCACACATCGATTTCTGCACTCCTCTTCACTGTAATCAGCTGCTACATGAACCTTCAGGGGAAACGACGGCCTACAGCGAGGAGGAATCTAAAGAAGAGCAGGTAATGAGTCTGAAGCCTCACAGGTACAGAGTCTGCCTACACACACACACACACACACACACACACACACACACACACACACACACACACACACACACCTTGTTCTCAGTGCCAGGTTGAGTCAGACTCACACACACACACAAACACACACAGAGGAGAGAGAGAGAGAGAGGTAAGAAAGGATTTCCGCCCCCAGGCACCATGAATCATTAATGTGAATACCGTATACCCTTCCTCCGCTTTAATTGAAAGCTCAGCAGACGAGATTTTTTACTCATCAATTTCCTAACTGGAGCTGAAGCTAAACGGACCTGCAGCGAGAGCAGAAGAGTGCAGCGCAGAGAGAACACTGAATAAACACGTTTAATATCAAGAGAGGCGGGCAGTGTGTTCAGATGTAATCATCTCATGGTCGTGTCAGCTCACCACAGACGTTACTGTTTACCTGCTGCAGGATGAAGACATCTATTGTAGAAATGTCAAACTTTGTGTGCATGTGACTCATTTAAAGGAGCAGTATGTAACTCTGACACCTAGTGTTTAAAATGGTGTCTAAATTCAAAGCATTGTAGAGAGCTGTCTCTCCCCCCCCCTCCTCTCTAGAGTCGATGCTCACGCAGGTCGCCATGTGGTGGACACTGAAGCTTCAGTGTTTATCCAGCTCTGCATCGGTCTGTAAACCTTCCTGTGTTCTAACCTCTCTCCATTTTTCAAAATCATCTCCAATATTGATCCTAGTTTGAGCACGTTTCTGCTCGTGGAGCTTATTAGAAACACGCAGAGGCTTTTTAGGTCGAGTACAATCACTTCTATCTGAACCACTTCTCTTGCCCGCTTCCATCACTGCAACAGCTGTTGGTTTGACCTGATAACTGCTCTCATATCTGACAAACCGAGGGGCGTCCAAAACGGCCGTGTGGGGGTGTCTTAAAACCGCCTACCTTCTCTGGTCCAAACAAATCCAGATCATTCAGGAGCAGAATCTAAAGTTAGAAGGAGGACATACTGGCTGCTGCATTGTTGTCAGAGAAGCCAGCACTTCAACATAGCATGTTTCCTTAATGTCTGATCATATAGTAAGATCACTTTATCATTTCACACACTACACATCTCACTGATTGGAGCTTTAAATCCAGAAGTACGACAAAGACTCACCTTTATTGGCAAAAACAAAACTCTGTGTCCTTGATAGAAAGCAGCATTAGACAGTGATTTATTTTATTTGTGTAAAAAGGCACATTTAAAGAAGACTAAAAGAAAGAAAAAAAAAAAGTTCCTTCCAATCAAACATAAACAACAAGCTACCGTTAGCATCCTGCTACATGAACTCAAAGCTGCGAGTTTAAAAAAAAGAGAAAAAGTTGGCAATCATTTAGTAATAAAACAAACAGGAATCAACAAACGTGATGCAATGATTTCTTTTTTTAAACTAAAATACAAAATAATAAAATCTTGTGATCCACTGACTGTGTCCCAGCTGCAAACTGAGTCAATGGTTTAAAGATTTAAAGCTGAATGTGCGGGATGATGCACAACTTTAGTCTTTATAAAGGCTGAATGTGGCCTGCATACTTAAAAAAAAACACACACAGTATGGCAATAATTAAAGCAACTAGGCGAGGAGTGGAGCGTTATTTTATCTGGTTAGTTATTTAAGGTTTATTTTTTTGTTTGGTTTAAAAGGTTCAGCATTAAAGGCAGGGTTGGTCATTTTTGAAAACTAGCATGATTTTGAAAGTAGCATTCTAGTGCACGCAAGAGGTAGAGAGCGAGCAGGGAGACAGGGAGGCTGTGATTGGTTCATCAGATTGGTACCTCGTGGCAGACATTGGTCGAAGTTTTTACAGGCTTACAACTGATACAGGTGATGGATTTTCTTCGTTCCTTTTTCAGAGAACATGAGTTATTAATTTCTGTCAGGACCTAAAGACAATTTTAACCAGAATCTTAAAAAGTGGATCTAGAGAAAATGACTAACCCTGACTAATGTTTAAACTTAATGTTGTTATTTCAACTTTGAGCTGCTCTGTGTTTGAAAAGTGTTCTTTCAATCTTTCTTCTGTCTCACAAACAGGTTTTTTGAAAGTGTAAAGATTCATTAAATATCTGATTAAACATGAAGCCTTATAGCTGTGTGTTATAAACTCACACACTGCATGGCTTCTTCTCGCCGTCAGGTAGTGTTGTAGTCAAGACCACAGTAACCGAGACCAAGACATACCCGAAACCAGAGTGCTCCAAGATCGAGACCAAGACATTTAGGGATCGAGACCGAGTCAAGACCAAGACCAAGACCATAAATATCACAGACAAATCATCATCTTGTGTGCAGCGGGCGTGTCAGTCTTTGAAACCGGGGGATAAAACGCAAATTATGAATCTCTTGAAGTTCATTCTCTTCTAATCACAGTAACGACATGGAGAAATAGCCGATCAGTGGTGGTCTTGATTTAAAATCCCGAGTCCACCCAGTCTGAGACCGAGACAAGACCGAGTCAAAATGCTTTTGATTACAAGACCAGACCTTCAAAAAGTGGTCTGGAGAACGTTCTTGAGTCCAAGACTGATTTCATGTACTACAACACTACCGTCAGCATCTGGAGACTCTTCAATCTGAAGTTAAAGACGGCGATAAATATCAATTCAGAGGAATAAAGAACGGCCAACATGTTGTGTGTTTCTTTGTCTGGTGCTTTCCGGCTCTTCCACATTTTGAATTTTATGCCGATTAAAACACGTTCAAGTATCTTTTATTTTCAGAACATCTTCATTTTGTGAAAAGGTGGGAGGGAATCTGTGCAGCTTCCAGTTCACAGAAAACAACTGGGACACAAGCCAAGACGTCTGAGCAACGACAGAGAACAAAATGTTTCCACACGTGTGTTAAGGTTTTTCAGATTAATGTCCATGATGAGTAATAATCTTTAAACGAGGACGCTCAGCTGATGGTCACGTCTGAGTCGTTCCTCTCAGTGAAATCCTGCCGACTCGTTGGATCTTAGTCGCTGAAGAAAAGCTTGTTTTTCAGAGGACGGATGAGGAGCTACGAGAAAACCTCACTGTCCAATCAGCTGGTTCCTCCTCCTTCCAGTATGAGACACAAACTGGGACCGTCAGCATCACATAGTCCTGGGGGGCAGCTGCTGTTTGTAGAGACCGGCGAGAGCTTTGGCGGCGCTCTGGATCATGTAACGCTGGCTCATCCCGTCATCGCTTGGTGCCAGTCCATCCTGTTGATGTTGGGAACGCAGCGCTCCAAAACCTCGCCCACCGTCACGATCAGACCCGACCAGCGCAGGCTGTAATCAGGAGGGGTCAAGGACTGGGCCTGAAGGAAGGGAGGGAGGGAGGGGGGTTTACAGGAGAGTGTGAGGAGAAATCTTCCTGAGTCCTGAATTCAAACATGTCCCCCACAGCGGGTGGACTGGGTCTAAATGTGTCACCTGTACCAGTTTGTACCTGTTGGATGTGATCCAGAGCCACAGGAGTCGCCTGAGTGAAGACCTCGATGCGGATGTTGTGACCCGGGTCCTCCAGGATCAGACAGCCCAAATCGAACCACCTGCAGGGAGGGAGGAGAAAACCGAGTCTGTAAAATGATCTGCACACCCTACGCCTTTCTAAACATCTATCAATACCCACTATAGATGGACAAGAGACATGAACCGGACTTTGGAGTCACGTGGACCCAGATCCAGGCCTGGGTCCTTGATGTGAAATCTCCCTAAGGCTTAGTAAACATGGAGTTTTTTAGGTTGTAAAAATATGTGAGAAGAAAAATAAAATCTGTTAAAAATAGAAGGAAAGGAGTTTGGGGTGTGTGTGTGTGTGTGTGTGTGTGTGTGTGTGTGTGTGTGTGTGTGTGTGTGTGTGTGTGTGTGTGTGTGTGTGTGTGTGTGTGAGTTCTGGTGTCTCTCAGTTTGTTTTTGTTTTTCTTCTTACTTGTCAGGAAACAGCTCAGCGATGAAGTTTTCCAGAGAGACCACCGGCTGCTTCTCGTGGATCACACCGGCCCGACGCAGGCTGTCAATGCGCTCCTGAGCCCCCTGAACACACACACACACACACACACACACACACACACACACACGTGTATAAAACACACACTCAGCTTGTACGTGACTGAAATAGAAATCACTCTAACTCAGGGAAGGTTCTCCTTCAGACATGTTTTGAAGAAAGGAGAAACTCAGTCATGACTTGCAGATGTATCAGAATGCTAATTTAGCATCTAGTTAGCATCATAATGTCTGCTGATACTGAGCGGACAGATGCTGCATTCATGTGGTGACGTACAAATCGGAAAAACGAGTTTCCGAGTTGTAGAATGCACATGAACATCTGCTCAAGTCGGAACAACAAACTCGGAAAAAAATTAGCTGCCTGACTTCCCGACTTGACGTCAGAATCGTCATCAAATGAGGGGCAAAATATGTTTTGTTAATGTTAACGTACTTTTAATTAATTCAGGTATTGCACATCAACTTTTTGCTCAAATATAACTTTTAACAGTTACATTTCACTGATCTTCTTCTTTGTACCATCAACGCTGTCTTTTGTGCTGTTGTTACAACATTCCGACTTTCCGAACTGAAATCACGTGAACACACCGAAGTCAAAAGAACGACTTTTAAACTAGGAAACTTGGACCACCTGAGCAGCACCTGAATGCAGCAAGAGAAGTACAGGGGCCCCACATGGCCGTGTGTGAATAAAGCGAGTAAATCACAAGGAAACGTTTCCTTTTTTTTGTAGCCCATACTGCTGAGTTCAGCCAGAGAAATCTGCTGTCGTTACCAGAGGCATATATCGTCTGGGCGCTGAGATTGGCCGCGGTTGGGGGTGTGTCTCTGATTCGGTCCTATCAGGAGGGAGATCATGAAGAAGGGTTTGTCTGTGTACAGCTTTCATCCTGAAGGAGAGGACATCTGATCATTCGTCTTAGTGACATCCCAGAAACAAGTCTGGAACCTCTCAGGTCAGTTTAAACCCGAAGGACCGTTAGACAATATTTAAATCACAAGGCGTGTCTGGTTCACAGGATTCATGTGTGTCTTATTCAGAGAGGAGCGCTGTAGTTTCCAGTTCTTAATGATCATTTGATGCAAATTATTTGCCATGAAAACAAACTACCTGCTTTCTGATAATACACACATTAAAGGTGTTCAGTATTCAGACACACACCTATCAGGGTGAAACTCTTTTTTATTGAGGTGTCTGTTTGGCTCTTCTTTGTCTGGAGTGAGGAAATTAACAAGTCATATATTGTCCAAGCGGTCGTCCTTGAAGCTTCCTCTCCTGTAAAAAACATCTGAATGAGGCATAAATCTCATCCTTTGTGTTTCTCATTGTCCACTAAATGTTCCAAAAACTTCCCCTCGTCTGTGAAAGCTCCGCACACAGCAGTTGCGTCAGGAGGGACGACTCCTGAGGACAAACAGAGCGAGGGGTCTTTTTTTTTACTTTACCCCCTGATTCTGCTTCACATAACCGCAGTGCTGCTGTGATAGAGACACAGGGAGGCACAACACCCTCCCTGCAAACAAACTGAGCCTTAAGGCGCATGACATGGCCAAAGAGGCTCCATACCGCGCTGAAGCACGACCCCCCCCGTCCCGTCCCCCCCGTCCCCCCGCTGGTCTGCACTCAGTTTCCAAACGATTCCACCGGAAATCACTGCCTTCAAAATCCAAACATCAGTCTGACATTCTCTCGTTTACTGACGAGATGGCGAGCCATTTAACTTGTAATGCACGGGTAAATGAGCTCGCATTACACTGAAGACGTTCTCAACCTTTTGTTCAGATCTTCACGTCTCGTTTCCACTTGCGTACGTGACTGCTGTCCGTAAATCCTTTTACACAAATGATGCCTCCTAGTGTCCAATGTAAGGAAGTGCATTTCCTTACTGCCCAAAAGACACCTGCTAGATGCTACTTGTAGCCAGCAAGGCTAATGTTGTCTGTTTTAACAAAGTTAGCTCGCTGTAAGCGCTAGCAGCCTGTTAGCTCGTTAGCTGCCTGTTAGCTCGTTAGCTGCCTGTAAGCTCGTTAGCTGCCTGTTAGCTGCCTGTTAGCTCGTTATCTGCCTGTAAGCTCCTTAGCAGCCTGTTAGCTCCTTAGCTGCTTGTTAGCTAAGTTGGCAGACGTTATACGTTCTCTCGGAAATCCACGGCACAAATTACATTTTTTAACGTACTTTGCGCACATTCTTGTCCAAAATATTACGGACGGGAGGAGATTCGTAGGCACATCGTATATATATCACGGAGATTCCCAAAGGAATGAATGCACTTCCTGTTAGCTTGCAGGCATACACATACGTGAGCGTAACCGAGGCGGTGGAGTATGAAACAGAAGTTTGATGTTTTGTAAAAGTTTGTCTACAGACCTTCTTCTCCGCCTGTGACTTTGATAGAGTAAATGTAAAGATCCTGTAAGAGAAGCGGCAATGAACTGACCTTGACTCCGGCGGCGTATCCCACAGGCTGGGGGGGCGATGTTGGACTGACCGGGCTCTCCGGTCACCATGGCCATCCCAAACACCTCCTGGAAGGCGTCTCTGACCGCCGCTACGATCATCTCTTTATCTGAGGTCACCACGATGTCCACGTCTCCTCCGGACCCTGCAGAGAAACAGCACAGAGACTTTAACCTCAGACGTCGGACCCATTTTATACAATAATTCCCCCCCCCCTCCCCCCCACACACTTTTACCGTCTCAAAAAACCCAATTGTGTCTCTTGACTGTGCTCCATTTTCAGAGCACTGAGCTGTGCCTGAACTCGTTGAGCACGTCATTTCTCAGGTGGTTTCGCTCTCTCTTGGAGTCCCTGCTGAACTTATTTTTATTTATGTGGAGAGTCAAGCAGAGTCAAAGCCATAAAACAGCTTAGAGGCCTCACATGCAGGTGTTTGTCTAGTCGTACTAATAACTAAGACAAATTTAGTTGAATGTAAAAATCCTGCAGTTCCTCAAGTGTCCACTAGAGGCTGGCTGCAGAAGCACAGGAAGTCACATACACACCCATTCTAAAAAGCCTGTTTTTACAGCAGAGATTAACATGTTTACAGCCTGGTTCAAAAAACCAAATAGGTCTGATTAGCTCATGTCTCGATCGACACACACTGTACGGGGGGTGAATGTTTTGATGACTCATCAGTTTTGATTTGATGAAGGATAAGAGTTATTCACAATAAGGCGTGTAGCTGACCTGATTGACAGACGGGCGCGGTGTAACGGTTTGTCAGGAGGTTTAAAAC